TCCTAACAGGTGCGTCCATAAAGATGCAGCTACTACGCAGCATGCAGCTACTACGCAGCATGGTTGCAAAAAATGCAAAATTTCCATTGGGTATAGAGACGTTTAAATTACGACAGCTATAGCCTGGTAACAAACAAATTTAGACAAAGATAAGTGCTTAAAGGTTATGTGTCCAGCTAAAGCAAGCGACTCTGCGGGGGTTTTTAGAAACATGTAATTCTTCATGTCATCGCCCCAGCCATTACGGTCGTTCTGTTTATCTATTCTGCTGCGAGGTCAGCTTTTCATGTGAGCAGTTTTACATCGCAAGAATACTAACCAATCGCAAACCGTTATTTTGATGGGTGGCTTGACAAGTTGGGTAGACGCAGTCCTTTTATATGGACACATTACCTTTAATCTTCTTACAATTGGCTTGGGTTTGCGTTGATTTGATCAAACTTATTTCCTCTGGCAGGCGCAACGCCAAATGTCCTAAATACTCTAAAGGTCAGCGTGAAGGGTCGGACAGTTTGAGTTGATGAAATTTTTGTCTCTTCCTACTTTTTTCTTGCATCTTGCTTCGATGTTTTTGGTACATTTGTTATTGCAAAATTGTGTGGCCTTGAACTCTACTCACCAACAGGAAATCCCCTTGTCAAAACCAAATTAAGTACAGTACTCTCTCGTTAAGTGGGACACTCAAGGGACCCGAGCAAGTGTCCTACTTAGCAGGCGTTCTACTTATTCGAATGCTTGAAAAGGGTGAGCAAGTTAAAGGGACAGGAAAAGTCTGTACTACATAGCGGGCGTCCTACTTATCCGGGGAACCACCTAACGAGACTATACTGTAGTTTTGATCTAAAATAGATCTGAAAATTTTAATGGGGCAATTGATTGATACTTTGACCTGTCACGTTGTACAAGTTTTTGTTATGCTGAAACGCCTGGTCACTTCTACTCTTATTGCCGTTTCATGAAGGTTGCTGAAACGCCATTCGCTTCATCCAGTCACTGAAACGCATAGGGGCCGATTAGTGTACTACACCGGAACAATAGCCACGGCGCATAAATTTTCTTCAACCAGTGTTTGTTGGAAAAAATTAAACACGGCCTTGATAAAAAACCCATCATTACATAAACAATGTAAATAATAGCATTCTAGTTATCATTGGTCTATCCCATTTAACTGTTTTTTTACTAACTAAAGTAAAGTAATTTAGCGTTAACTAACAGTTTTCTTTTGGACAGATTTGTTCATCCGACAGGTCTTTGTAAGGAATGGGAAAATATTCAAGTATCACTCAAAAAATACAGCAAAATCTTTGATTTTTAAAATTCCCGATCATCAAAGATCTTGAAAAAGATAATTCTAGCTGAAAAAACCAACTTTTGCTTTTTTCTCAAAATTTAACCACTGTTGCAACAGATCCATTAAAAAAGCGTTATGCTGCACACACAAAAAACAGTCCTTGACATGTTTCTCAGGATTCAATACTAACCTATAGCTGTTGAAGTGGGAACTATAAATAGCACGAGGAGTTCCTGAAGAAAATCACGGGAAAATATGACACAATGTGACGTTATGTGCTAACTCAACCAGAAACAAAGGGAAAGTTTAAATGTATGACCAACGTTGCAAAATTGCTGCGTATGCAAAAAGATTGCTGCGTATGCAAAAGATTGCTGCGTATGCAAAAAGATTGCTGCGTATGCAAAAGGTTGCTGCGTATGCAAAAAGATTGCTGCGTATGCAAAAGGTTGCTGCGTATGCAAAAGGTTGCTGCGTATGCAAAAGGTTGCTGCGTATGCGAAAGGTTGCTGCGTATGCAAAAGGTTGCTGCGTATGCAAAAGGTTGCTGCGTATGCAAAAGGTTGCTGCGTATGAAAAAGGTTGCTGCGTATGCAAAAAGTTGCTGCGTATGCAAAAAGATTGCTGCGTATGCAAAAAGATTGCTGCGTATGAAAAAGGATTGCTGCGTATGCAATAAAGTTTTTTATTAAATATTAATTTTTCCTATAAACGTCTTTGGGTGGAGTATTATATGCAGTAAACACTTCGCAAATAGACCTCTAGTATCTGTTTCATCATTGTGACCTGGTAACCAAATTTAAAGTTTTTACTGAGATAAAATATGATCGACTAACACAACCAGGGTAGGACTGGAACACGTGACCAGCGACTCAGCATTCCCCCAAACCCTGTTCTAATATCACTTTAACTTGCTTCAAGTTCTCTTCGGATTACCCTGGCTACTTGAGCCAAATAATCCAGGCTTAAAAATTGAAGAAAGTTGAGCGGGGGGACGGAGGGGACAACATACGCGTCTCCGCTCAACTATTCCATTGCCGCAATTTAAGTTTCATTCTTGCATCCGAGATATCATCGGATAGTCTTCGAAAACTGCGCAAATGAAATTTGAAGGTTCTGACTTTATTTGTATTAATATAACTCAACATTATAAGTTTTCACATTACTTTTTTTGGATTATTTCTTGCCCAATGTTCAACTGAAGTACCATTTTTGTCAACTGAGAAACTTGAGGTCCTTTCAGATATCGTTAGCTGAATGTTCCTGCTTCAATCATATTTGATTTGTAGCAATTTGAAATAATACTTTAGTTAGATTTGGTAAAATGTTTGTTGAAGAAACGACTTGGCATGTACATAAATATGCCTGATAGCAAGATAAAGCTCGTTAAGTAAATTTTTTGATAACAAAACAACTTATTCCTTATACTCTTAGTTGCTTTATGACAGATGAATAAGCAAGAAAGAACACATCCGTCAACCATGTCCTGTGTCGTGGCTTTATCTGTGTTGCTTTCCCTTGGGCTTCATTTAAATTTATACAACAGTCAAAAACTGCACAATCACTTCATGCTAGGGGCCTGGGTCGTAGCAAGCATTGACGTAAGTATCCGTATTGATTATTACGCATGTAATCGTCGGGAAGTGGAGGATGGAGAAAACATGGACGATATCATGTGAAGATGTTGAATTGCTAGACTTTGATGCTTGGAACTTTTATTGAAGATTTGTAAATCAAGTCGAGTTTTGACAAGTTAACATATGGCTTTGCAGTGAGGCTGGTTTCTGACTGCATGCGTGAGCAAAATCTCCTGCAGTGGTCTGTTAAATAAAATTGATCATACCAAAACATCAAAGATTAATTCGTTCGATTGGTTCGAGCAGAGGCTAACCAGCCTGTTTAAAGGAGTCGTAATGACAGACTATGGATTAATGAAGCGGGCATCTTCTTTACCACACCAAAGACGAAAACAGAAAATTTTTAAGAGGTCGCTCAGTTTGTCTCTTCCAGAGAACACAGGCCCTGTCCTAAAGTTTTCGCAGGCTCAGCACTTTGCCCCCGAATCACCAATTGCGCTCCCTAAAGATTTTCACGGGGCAGAGCAAAGCAGCCATAACACAGAAACATCAATGACAAGCAGAATCATCGATAATAATTGCCAGCAGCACGACGAAGCGTCGGTGTCTGCGAAAGATGCTGTGCCATGTGGGACAGACGATGGTTCGGAAGAATTTGACCAGGACACGTGTACCGAATGCCCTAGTGCTTGTTTACCCGAAAATGAAACTACACATGAAGCAACATTACCTCAAGAAACGTCGGTCTTAGATAATGACAAAGTTGCAACAGCACATGACATTCTGATTTCTTGTTATGGAGTAAATGCTGAAAATCTTTCACATGATATCACCCATCCTGATCAGAGATCATTCCCAACACCACCAACACCACCCCCTCCACCACCTATCAAGGAATGGCAACCCAATCCTTTATCAGCAAATCCAGTTCATTCCAGCATTATGGTCGACCTAGACAAACTGTCTGGTATATCAGATTATGATGATATGTTTTCTAGGCTGTCAGTTGAAAGTGGAGTTGAAGGGTGGTATTGCAGTATCTGCTATTGCATGGCATCTAGAAATAAAGAATCTTCAGTGTATTGTGATTCATGCTCAGGATTGTTCTGTTTAGACTGTATGCATATACATCTTAGAACTAGAATCACTGGGGGTTTCATAATTCTCAAATGCCCAGGAGATTCTTGCACACGAACAATAACAGATGAAGAAATAGATCTGCACTGCAGTGAATGGATGCACATTTTTGTTAAAAACAGAGTAGATGCAGATAATAATCCAAGAGTCAAAACTTGCCCAGGCTGCAATATAGTCCAGCATTTTGAGGAGCCAGATGAAGTGCCCATCCATCACAAGTGTGGATCCTGTGGGTTACGATGGTGCATACCTTGTCACGCACCATGGCATAATGCCTTAACCTGCAAGGAATTTCAAAAAGATGTCATTGGCAAAGGACACAAGGCATTAAAGGTTTGGGCAAAGGGGAGAGGAAAATCAAATGCTAATGCTGTGAAATGCCCTCAATGCAAGTTCTTCATTGAAAGGATATCTGGATGTGACCACATGTGTTGTTCCAGGTTTGTTTTAGCTCTTTAGAGTAAAATCTCTTCTCAATCCATGATTAAATTTTAAGCTATTGAATCCCAATACAGTGCCTGAAGACAAAAGTAATTATGTTTGAAAATTTTTGTTACATAATTTTCAACACGTCTCTCACATCACACTACAACACATCAAGGGACTCTCAGAGAAGTTTCAAAAAAGGTCCAATATGAAGCAACTCTTTTGGTATCAAACATTTCCCTATTACATTAACAGTGGGACAGTTTCAATTTTTGTTTAAGTTATAAAATTGCCATTTGATATATTATTTCTAAACTAGTATTTATTTTGAAATTTTATGATTTAATTTCAAGTTGTAACTTATTTTGCAACACAGCATAAATATCCATAATTGTATTCTGCAATTTCCAATATGTATTTTGTTGATTATTATTTTACTTTTACTAAAGCTCTGGGAACAGGTTAAAGTTTCTGCCTCATTTTTCTTAAAGTGCCAAGTGAAATTTGTATATTCTTTAGGTAATGATAATTGTGAAGGGTACTTGTGAATGATTTAAACTTAAAATTTCAGTTGATGGTGTTTGTTGATTTCAAGGCAGATGAAGGATTTTCTCATTTTGAGTCCTAAACACATCTCCACTAAATACCCAAATCGATGTAATGTTTTTCTATATAATTATTTCTTTAGCAAGAATAATTTGATATTGACTTTTAGGTGCTACACTGATTTCTGCTACAGATGTGGGAAAAAGCATAGGAAAGGAGGAATTTTTGGTGATCACTATAGCCGCTACAGCTTCTTTGGTTGCAAATACAACTTAGCACCAAAAAAGCCAGTGGTGAGAGTTGCTGTAAGGTCAGGTGTATTAGCTGGTACAATTGTGGCTGTCCCTGTAGTGGCTGCCTTTGTTGTGTCAGTTGGTTGTATAATTCTGGCAGTCAGCCCAGTTGCTGTTCCATCTTTTATTGCTGTTAAGAAATGTAGGAAGTAGACTCTTATGTCTCCAAACTACAAGTTCTTTGGCATAAGGAAGTTATTAGTTGATTAGAAACCTTTACACCCATTAAACATCAGGAAGTCAATTTTTTTGCAAAGTCAAATTTCCCATAAAACCTGTTTTGTTGTGTTTAATACCACAAATGACTTTTAGATACCATGAGATCAAGCTTTGAAAAAATTAGGCAACTATATCCCTAGCAATTCTCTATATTATTGTAAGCTTGCTGAATGAATGTTAGAGGCTAGCAGTGCCTTTAATGTTTCTAGCATGTGTTTTTGAGCTACATAAGCATGGATAATAAATTTAAGATAATTAATTTCTTGTAGAAATGACATTGTCATGAAGGTTTATACTCTTAGGCTCTAGCTACCCTTTCTTTTTTAATGCCTTTTCAATGATCACCCTCTGATAGCTTCATTGTGTTACATTAGCAGAAAAGATTGTCATCTGTTTTTCTTCAGAGACACTGCCCTGTTATGGATAAGGTCATTTCAATCCTAAATATCCCAACAACATCATAGTAGGCTGTACCAACAATATCAAAACTTTGCTCTCGTGGCTTTATCATCATAGGTCATACTATTTCTATTTTTAGCATGATACAGTCACTGTACTAATAATTACTTTGCAAAACTCTATCACTTTGTTTTGCACATGCAAGTCCTAATACATCAAACAAGCTTAATATGTTTACATTTTATAGCAGTTTGTGGTTTTCCTCTTATTCTGCACCCCACCACAATTTTTGTGAAATTTATTTTAACATGTCATATATTTTCAATTTTTGTTGTTTTCCCTTGTAGGTTGTATATATATTTTCCTCTGGGTTGTTATCTATCAAGCAAGCTAAGCATTTCATGCCATGTCTTTAAACTTCCTGCTTAACCCAAAAGAAAAGATGATAGAAAATAATTTGTGCTCACATTCAAAATAGACATCTGTAAGGGGCTGATCTCTATTAGTATTTCATGGATTTTCACAAAGGGGCTGGTCCCCAAGGCTTCATTGATGGAAGCCTTAGAATTCTAAGATATTAAAGTAATGAAAAATCAGGCCTTTTCTTGTCATCAAGCAAACATAATTTCTAGCAATGTCTTGATAATCAAAATTAATGACTATCCTTTTTCTTACAGTAATAGCTGGTAATATGCATGTTATGATACATTTGCCTTAAATATTTAGTTTCATTCATTTGATTTTTTCTCATTTCTTTGTTGACATTTTAAATAGTCTAGCATAATTCTTATGTTTAGGAAAGTTGTCTTGGATTTAAATTTTAGATAGCTAAGGTATTTGTGTTAAAAGTTGTTTAAGAATTTATTTTAAGAGGTGTCGAGATTATTTGAAAGATTATTGTACTTATTATTTTGTGTTTTGCCTAACAGACAGTAAATTTGTAATAATATGTAAAGATTCATTTGAGACATAGATACTATTTCATGAAGTTCCCTTGGTTTTCCTCTTGTCTTTCTTCTTCTTAGAATCAGCAAGGCAGACACTTGGTCAAATATTGGGGGGGGGGGAGGAGGAGCATATTGCTGCAATAGGATGGTGTCATATTTTTCAATTGTTTAAGAACAAAAGATCATAGTCCTCCAAAATATAGGGGGCGACCATATCCTCACCCCTAGGTGTCTCAACTGTTCAGAATTGCACCATACAGTCGAAACATTTTCCTGCTTATTTAGTATTCAATTATTTTAGATACTAGAAAGGCATTTTTGAAGCGCAGCTACTAGGTACTGTGGTTCTGATGGGGGAGGGACTCAAATATACAAATCCTTTGTTTCCAATAAACAGTGCCTTGTTATGTTTTGTTTGCAAAAAGGTGCCCCCTCTATTTTTTTCCTTCCTACTGCACTGAGGTGTGCCTTGGATAGAGAATTTGGGGCTTTGTACCCTTTCAAATAGTATTAGAGCTGCAGCATTTTGGTGAAATAACCCCCTATTTTGCTGCAAAATTTCCATGAAAAATTCAGATGGCATGATCTCCTTTTTGGTTCTGGCTGAAGCAACTGGCTAATAAAGCAATAATATGGACTGGGTCATAAACCTAGTCCTTGACTTTTCATTCGGGGCATTAGGAAATAGGGGGTTTAGGTGGCAAAACCCACCACATTTCCTTTATTCGTTATCCACCAATGAACTTTTAACGGATGCCCAGATTAAAAAAAGGGTTTTGGCAAAACTTTTCACGAATGCTGACGTAATGCCTATATTTACACCTAGGATATATAAATTAGAGGCAATAACTGAGTGCGAGGCCGAATAGCTTTTAATGGCCGCCGTAGTGTTTGGAGCTAATTAGTTTCGTGAGTGTGCTAATATTGATGGTTTTCTAATATGAAAGATGTTTTGATCTTTCATGAAGAATGAATAGCGGTCTTGAAGGCGATATATTCACGGATGTGGAAACAAAAATGCCACCAAACGAAGTTGAAAATATTGAGTTGTTACATATTCTAGTCTAGTTTCAATAGGAGCAATGTCAAGTCTTATTAATCGACAAATGGAAGTCAAATTCGAAGTTGATTCGAGGTACTTGATCGTCGAGACAATTGGAAATGGAGCATACGGTGTCGTCTGCTCTGCAGTCGATAATAAGACAGGTTGTAAAGTAGCTATCAAGAAAATTTCACGAGTTTTTGATGTCCCTGCTATAGCAAAAAGAACTTTAAGAGAACTGAAGATTCTAAAGCACTTTAAGCATGACAATGTTATCGGAATTAAAGAAATCTTACGCCCACCAGAAGACTTAACAAAATTCGAAGATGTTTATGTTGTTTTAGATTTAATGGAAAGTGATTTACATCATATCATTCATTCTAATCAATCTTTGACTGGCGAACATGTAAAATACTTTTTATACCAACTTCTTAGAGGACTAAAATACATTCATTCTGCAAATATTATACACAGAGACTTAAAACCAAGCAACCTGCTAGTAAACCATGACTGCGAGCTCAAAGTTGGGGATTTCGGTATGGCCAGGAGTTTATTTTCATCACCAAGTGAACAAAGGCGAGTCATGACTGAGTATGTTGCTACAAGGTGGTACAGAGCCCCAGAACTTATGCTTTCTGTACATCAATTCTCTTATGGTATTGACATTTGGTCTGTTGGTTGCATATTTGCAGAAATGCTTGGCAGAAAACCAATTTTTCCAGGTGCAAATTACTTGAACCAGCTACAGGTAATAAAAAATTGTATTGTAAAATACAGATGTAAATGTTTCCATTATTTGATTATTTGCCTAATGCCAATGTAATACGTTCAAATAAAGTTGATTTTTGTACAGCTTATTCAATACTGTATGTCAGAAAGGTAAGAAAATTTAAAAGACCGCAAGGAAGACCAAAGACAACATGGATGCAAACAGTGTGTCAGGTTCTCAATAATATCAATATCATACTAGACCTCTCTAAAATAACCAAAACATTAAATAGATTAGTGGGACTGACACAGAAAAGAAAGGGCTGGCATAGAACTGTAAAGTGCGTCATGCATTAATAATTGTGTGAGATCTCCCTGCAGATGATGCTATACTAGGCTAGGTAGGTTCAAACTCTGCAGTTGTTCCTGATATGGCACATCTTTTAGTTCTATTATAAGCTAAGTTGCTCTTCTTTTTACATTTTCAAAAACTGTAATGTCCTTTTTATAAAACGGCAACCAAACTGAGTTTCCGTACTCTAGGTGAAGTCTAATGAGTGCTTTAAAATGCTGTATCGTAATGTCTCTATCCAAATATGGAAATGATCTGCGAATTATTCCAAGGATTTTGTTACCTTGTTGGCTGCTACATCTGCTTCTATGTATGTTAATTCTAACCTTAATTTCAACATGAACCCCTAGGTTCTTTTCGTAGGCACTGGCTCCCAATGCCACGTTAATTGGTCCATCCTTCATATTGTACCATCTTTCTGCATTCTTTTTCCCTAAGTGCACAGCCTTACAGTTTGATGTATTGAATCGTAGTTGCCACATCTGTGCCCTTGATTGAAGCTTGTTCAGATCATTCTGCAGACCCTGAAAATCAAGGTCATCATTTATACTCGAGAACAGTTTTGTGTCATCTGCAAACATACTGATCCCATTTTTTACTACACCTGGTGTATCATTCACATAGCAGATAAAAAGAACAGAGCCTATTACACTCCCTTGTGGGATTCCACCAGTGACGAATTTGAGCACGACCCGTTAACCGTTACACGTTGACGTCTATCAGATAGGAAATCCTGTATCCATCCTGATGAGGGACAGCATCAAATGCTTTTGAAAAGTATATAACATCAAATGCGTACCCTTGATCCAATATTTTAGTCCAGAGATCAATTACTTCTAGTAGATTTGTTGTACAGGATCAACCTCCAATAAACCCTTGTTGACATTCGACTAAATGCTTTCTCATGTGTTTCAGCACAGCCTTCCTGACATAATGTCACTGTTCCATCTGTTTTTTTAAGTCACTAACCCCTGCCCTTGTTTTTAGCTGCTTACGACTGCTTGAAATGTGACAGAAGTTCCAAAATAAAGAGTTATCTAAGCAGTTCTGTAAATTCTTCAAACACATCGAAAATGTCAACAAAGGGAAACCTATGTCAGTTCATTGTTGAGGTCTGAAAATCAGATTTTTAGGATGTTCGTTAAATCTGACATGAAGTTCCATCAAGATGTTCTTTGAATGAATTGTTGCACCGCAAGTTTCATTTTATGAGTATCCTATCAACAAACTGAAAATGTTTAAGGCGTCAGGGCACTTAAGAAATCAGGACTGCCCTTGATGGGCCTGATTTGTCCAAATTGGCAAACCTTTTGTCACACAAGCAATGTGCCTTCGCATGAAATCGAATAGACTTTGGCATTTCATAAAGAATTGCAAAATGTAAGACCACATTCTGGATTGAAAAGAGCAGAAAGCATTGCTACCAAACTGCCAAAAATGTCCTTCATAGAGACAAATCTTGCCGCTTTTTATGTAATATTATCCTTATGTTTGTGTAGTAGATAATATTTTAGTAGTTTATTTTTAACCTAGTTAGAAAAACTTGTAACACTCGGAAGCATTTTGTGGAAATATTGGTCAGAGACACTTCAAATTTTTTCCACCTTGTTCATTGGAAAGTTCAAGTCTGTAAAGGTTGTCTTAACGAAATTAATTTTTGTTTGCATTTCTAATAATTTTAAAGATTGATATCACCTGTATCCCTTTCATTGCAGCTTATTTTGAGTGTGGTAGGCCTCCCATCGCCAGATTTTTTATCTGAAATAGCATCAGAGCGAGTCAGAAATTATATAAGCAAACTGCCACAGAAAGATCCAGTTCCACTAAGCAAACTATACCCAGATGCACCCGAAGATGCTGTTGACCTACTTACAAAGATGCTCAAGCTTGATCCAAAGGAGAGATGCAGTGCCAAAGAGGCTTTAGAGCATCCATACTTGAAAAGGTAAGATATACTTTGTGTAATGTGTAATGATTAATCAAGCGCATAGCTAGGCCTGTGGAGAAGGGGTAGCAGAAACCCTATACCTATTGCAGGCAGACTTTTCAGAAATTTTTCTTTTCAGGTTTTTGCTTAGCAGTGAAAACATTTTAAGCGCCAGGTACCAGGTCCTTCGTGGATAATAAGAGACCCCAATAAACAATTTTCCTTCTTTCAGTAATAGCTTGACTCAACTTGCGATACCTGTCCAACGAAAGCTACCAAAAACCCCATTAAAAGTTTAGAGACAAACAGCTGGTATTCTCTTGCTCCAGGGTAACATTGCCACCCGACGCCTGCCCTTGGCTACAGTCTGTACTATTCCACAAATTGAAAAATAGTAATCACTTAGAAACAGTCATTTTGTGACACTATTTGTTAACATTTTTCAATTTCAATTATTTATAGTGTTTCTAAAAGGATGATACAATGACTTGAAATTTCATTGAAATTTTATACGTATTAAATTCTTTGATGAAATTGGTCATTTTTATTCTCTATGGATCTGTGTTCTAGGGAAATTAACGCAAATTGTGGATCAGTTTTACACTCAAGACTTTTTTCATGCTGTTTACTCCTGGGCCTTTTGTTAATTTATTTTATTCCCATTTAGTAGAAGTTGGGCTAAAAGTAAGACATGTTCGCTGTTTTTTGTTGCCATTTATAGTTTCTCTTTGTATTCATGTGCACACTGCGTTTATTGATAATGGCTTTTCTGTACATTGCGTGGCAACAAATATTTTTTTCTAACAGGCTTTTCTGGTATTATGGAAACTGTTACCTTTTATAGTGTACACCTGTTTTTGTATCTCTTAAGCTTGGTTCCCACTAGGCGACTAAGTGCGTTCAAGTGCGTTCATCTCTAATCCTTTAATTTAATTAAAGATAAGAGATAAACTACCGAGGCATTCCCACTTGCAAAACATAAACCCTCAGCTAACTGTGTGAAGACAAGTCAAAATGTCTAAATGTCGCATTTTAGAGAATCTAGGACATGCATTTAAACACTAAAATAATTATCATTTTTGCTCTTTTATTACTTATTAATTATGCAATTGTAAGATGTTGAAACCCTCTCTTGAAAATTATGTAAAGGCCATTGTTACACTATCCGATCAAGTATCGCAACAGGATCGCAACTTAAGTTCCCTTGCATTTTCGTGACACGGATTTCGCAATTCTTTTACGTGTACATTGTAGGTGTTCTATGCTTTCAATTTATGGCCTCTCGTTAGTCATTTAAAGTAATCCTGATTGTATAGCTCTTTTCAAAATTTACAAGTTAGCAGAAATCTCTTAATTGGCAATGTTTTATTGATCTCAAGGTGCTAACAGTCACGAAATCGATTTCATGCGTTGCTATGGCTGAAATTGCCTTATTTTGGCTTTACATTTACATCTTACTTGTTGGTTGATGAATGAAACATTCCTTGAATTTTTCGGCTTCTTTTATGTTTAAACGCTTAGATCAAAATTTTTTGATCTTGGCGTTTAACTTTTTTGAGGGTTCAAGTGCGTTCATCTCCTCCAAGTTAAACGCCCGGAGCATTCCCACTTGGCGTTTAACTTGAACGCTCAGAGATAAACGCACTTGAACGCACTCAATCGCCTAGTGGGAACCAAGCTTTAGTGTTTTGTTTAGTTAAGTCATTGACCCTTAGTTCCATATACTTTCTGTTAGTTTTTGCACGTTTAATCTATTCCTAAATAGTCTTTGTTTCAAATCTAAGCCACTTCTCTATTATAATAACACTTTCTATTTTTCTAGGTACCATGACGTAGATGACGAACCATCATGCCGACCACTGTGTTGTGAGTTTGAAAATACAGAATTAGATAAAGACGTGTTGAAGGATGAAATTGTAAAAGAAATACGCAGTTATCATTCAAAGAACCCTAGGCCAAAACTAACTCCTCTCTCAACAAAGTTTTTCACCAAACCGGTCACAATGGAAAATGATGTTGTTACCCGGACCGAATATAAAGGTATTGCCTATGTACACAAAGTTAAATTAACACTTTGGTTTCCTGCTATTTAAGATTTCGTAGTCCGAAGCTGTTTAGCGTTTGAAAATCAGTCAAATAGGCAAATGCCCTTATTGAAAGTGCTGCGGGTTTTCATTCATTACTTTTTCATTTTCCAAAGTCAGATCTTGGTAGAATATTTTAATTCAAATCGCCGTAGAATCGATCGCATGAGAAATGCCAACTTCGTAGTTTGAGATGTCAACAGATTTTATTACCAGCTCATTAGAAACGCTCTTCACAAGTGAACCTCGAAGGAATTTAGAAAGTTTTAGAATCTCTTGGAAGTAGAGTGATGATAAATTATCTAGTTAAAGAGTTAATGTAAGTTTCTTAGTCCAGAATTAATGGATTTTTTGCATATGGTATATTTCGATTTTTGTGGTATACAATCATGCATCTCATCATTTCAGTTCTTTTTTCAGTTGCCATTTGCTGAGAAATTAGGCTTCAATAAATAATGGCTCTTTCTGACATTGAAATCTGCCCTTTTTCTCACTAATGAAAATCAACAGTTGTCATGAAATTCTTTATTCCCTCTGTCGCGAGCCAATAGACCTTCTTTTACTCTATCTAGAAATCACATGTCCAACAGTTGCCCAGTCTGTAATATCAACTGCCGCTGATTCCTGCAAGTTTGACTCGAGAAAACGCAAGCAAAAGCGCATTAGGCGAGATTCCAAGGCCAAAAAGCTGAAGGAAGATTGTGAGCCAAAAGGAGAGCCTAGTTCTAGTCTCTCGGACCAAGATAGAAAGATGCTGGAGCGATGGACAAACATGCAAAAGTCAACAGTACCATTTATTCATCCGATTCGCAAACATATGAAAGATTTAATTGAATTGCAAAGCCAGGATGTTGCAATGTTTCCTTGCGAAGATTCTCAGATAGAGGCTGGTAAGACAGTGGCTGGAAACCCAAAACCTCAGGTGACTTTATCTTTTTTAACCGAAGTTAGCAGCTTCAAATCATCGTTGTTTTAGCTGTTTGCCAAGAAATCCTTTTAGCTCTTTAATGGTCATTGTTTCATCAGTCAGTAGAGGCTGATTGTCTAGTTGTCGTATTGCATTTCCATCCATGCGTAGAAAAAGACGAATCTTAGTGGTTATTCTAAATTGTTAGGTGTGATAATAAAGCATTTAGTATGACGATTGCAGCTTTTTCTTTCTGAAGTGCATGGCATATCTTTGGCTCACAAGATTCAAAACAATAACTTCATCATAGAAGACCCATTTGCTACACCACTTCTTGATAATTTTTGAAGATTATATGCAATACGTTTTTATTTTTCACTATTGAACACTTTAAAATCGAGAACTGCTGGATGTCACAAAAATAAGGTTGCATTGAGATAGAGTTTTTTTATTAACTTTGGTTATTTCACTTTATCAATGTTGTCGGAGGTGAAAATTTTCAGCACAGTTTGTTTTGAATGTTAAACCCAATTAAACTCAAACGATATAAATTTAGTTCAGGTCTTTGACAATGTTATCTATTTACATTAATTATTTGCTTAATGTTGCCTGATTCATAGTTGCTCGTTGCATTAAGCCTGAAAATAAGAACCATTAGAACCGTCCTGTTCTTTACACCAAAGCGTGAACAGCTCTGTCTATACGGAATGGAGCACTATATAGGGGTTATGATAACTATCGATTTCTCAAGCCCTCTGTAATTATAGTTTCAATGCCTGCCAAAAGTACTTGGAACACCCACCAATTTACGCTGCATTTGATATCTGTCATTCCTTTCATGAAAAAAAATTTGCTACTTCCTTCAAACAATGTTGATGATTTAGAGAAATATCATAAAAGAAGCGCAAAAGAAAGTGCTTCCTAAAATCCTAACCCGTTTGATAGTAAACCAACATTGTTCCGTGGGGGAGAGGGGGATGATTGGTTTTGACCTTGGAAATTGATGTCAGAGTTCCAAGACTTTTGGCAGGCATTGTTGCTATGCAAACCATTTTTCAAAGAGAGGGGCATTTTTTGATTTTGTGAAGCAGTTTGCCATTTGAGATTTAATTTTGTACGACAGACAATAATCGAATAAAGGTTTTTCTACCTTGCAAACAAACGATTTACGTTTTTTGGACCCTATGAGCTGCTGTTTTTATTCGCCCTTCTTGTATTTTAGTTCCAGTTCACGAATTTGGTACCAGCTCAAAAGGGAGGGACAGTGACGCTCGTGAAAGACAATGCTGACAAAGGCTTGACAAAAACGCAACTCCCAAATGATCGCAAGCAAGCTAATATCGCTGTCAAGACTTTTGTTTCACAAGTTTCTACGACAGCCTCTCAGAACGCCATCAAACTCGCAACAACAACAACAGCAACAGTTGCTGGTCAACATCCAAGTTCGTAAAATTTCCTTTGATTGATGTTGATAATTTCAATCGCATAGAATAAATTTCAGCACTGTTTGTATACCGATAGGCTGCCGGTTTACAAAATGAAAAGAACAAAGAAAGTACTAAAACATAATGTTTTCAATTAGCGATACTAGATAAATTGTTTCTTGTGTCAAGGCCACCCATTTCACCAATAGGGACAACATGTTGACGAGACGAGACCTAGAACCTCTAAAGCAACTTAATGCAGTTCTGAGTAAACAAAAACATAGCTTTCTTTTGTGAATGTGGATAAGTTTGTTTGCATAAGTGATCAAGTATCTGTTATAGATAAGAACAAAACAATTATTGCGTCCATATTTCATACTGTTATATTGAAAGTTTTTCACAGTAAAACCAAGGCCCGGTGAAAGGGGATAGGGGAAAATTGCTTATGTTTGAAACTCGTGCTAATGAATGTAAACAGCTTATGTTATAGACACGTTAAATTTTTAAATGTGGTTAAAAAGGAGTAGTTCTATTTCGGCCAGCAATTCAGATGCTTTTATTTTCATTTGTTAAAGCGTCCTGTGCACAGTCTATATTATGGTTGTCCTATTTTGTTTTTACAGCGCAAGAGACAGTTCTCATACCAATGGGCGCGATTCCTTGTTATCAAATCAAAGGACCATTAAAACCAAATTCAAAGGGACAAATATTTCTTCTGCCTCGAATTCAAAATCCGGTTTCTGTCAATCAAACCCAGCAGAGCCTCATTATGGCCCCAGCTGTTAATGTAGGTGCGCCCATTGCCGTTGGAGCAAATCCGCTGTTGGTAGCGAATCAAGCAACGCCACAGAAGATTGTAAGCATTGCGGCAAAACCCACTGCGCAGGTGATGTCGTCTCAGAATAGCATTTCACAACATTCGAGAATAAAACCGCTTGCCCCAAAAACAATTTCATCCTCAGTCACCTATCTTACCCCTTCATTCAGTATTATGTCTCAGCCTCCAAGGCAGGTATTTCCAGTGCAAACGATATCGTCGATTGCTTGTGGAACCAGCATTAGCCAAAACAGCAACAGTAGGAGCCCTTCAACTGTTTTTACCTCTACCTACAACAGTGTATCTGTTCAACCCGTCGCACCAGATCACAGTGTGAAAGTTTCGACTGAAAACAAGGAAGTAGAACGGCCACCGTCCGCCATTTGCGTCGTGACACCGGACGGAAAAGTGAAAGCTGTCACACCGGACACCTTACAGTCGTTCGAAGAAAACTTGAGTAGCCCTTCTAGTTTCTTAAAAAGTGATAATGCTTTGAATTCTGTAAAGGAAAAAACCGATGAAGTCATAATTGTTGAAAATAGTAAATCAAATACTAGTGGAAAAGAAACGCAAATAGGACGGAAACCGTTACGAAAAGCTAACTCTGAAGAGGTAGCTGAGAGATTAAGCGCTGAACTTCGAAAGCTTGATCCTCAAGAGCGAAGTATAGTCGAACTTGTTCGTCAGTTGGAAGCTGAGAACGAAAGTCGTAGTATATGTGCCTCTGTCGAAACGTCGTTTGCGAGTACTGGCGAAACCAACACTTGTAAGCCTGGTTTTCTGCCTATAACTTCATCAAGTCCAACGAATGTCTCGTATCAACATGCTTCACCGGATCTTGAGATTCCATCAATCTCGTTTTCAATGATCACAGATAACGATTACAATGGAAATGAGGGTACCAATGATGAAAAGACAGACAAAGCCTCGACTAGAGATGTGTTATTAACTACACTGCTTACTCCGAGGACTCCCAAAAGTGGTGCTTATGGCTATGGCTTAGGATTGGACCTTGAGGAGTTATTTCTTCAAACTAATCCACAAGAATTGTAAGTTTCTTTACGTCTTTACGTGTTATTCAAAGCGTTTACGGTATTGCTCAGCAGTTTCAAAATGTGTTATTCAGCAATTTTATGGCCCCCACATTCTACGTTGTTGAAGATATTGGTTTCTAACCTTTCTCAGATCATAGACCATTAAAATAAAAAGCGCACAATATTTTGAGTCATATTCAGCTACAAGCCGCGGTATATAATAACTTTTTGGCACGTTTGGCTACTGTATAGGCGGCTTATATTCGCGAGCGTCTAATACACAAGGGCGGTCTACAATCAAATAATGATATGGTATCGCTGCAATTTTATCTACCACCAGTTTGTTTTACAAAGAGGTATCGGAAAGACTTCTGAAAGGTATCCGATCTTTATAAAAAACGGCCAGTGGCCATCACCAAATCTATCCAGTGACGATATCGCTTATTTGAAACTACCATTAGATTCTTGTCTGATAATTGAGACTTATGACTAACTTTGCACACGCAAAGCTTTGTTTGAACCTTCTTTGTACATAAACACTATACCCTAACTCTCCATGGTCTTTCACATACATGCATTTTTTCCAGACTTTCATTCTAAAAGTATTTTTCTCTATTCTAAAGGGGTTTCACGGCCAAAGAATAATAGGCTGCCTCTACTCACCATGAATTTTTCGCTGGTTTTCCCCACCTGTGGGATTGGAACTTGTTATAGAACAATAGAATTCTATCACGGCGTTGCGAATTCCGAGATGGCCTATTTCTGAATCAAAGTCCAAACGCTGACTTGATTTTATCGAATCTTTATTAAAAAAAATACTCCCCACATCCTCTTCCATGTCAAGGAAAATAGGGCTTGTGTCATTTTTGGGTTAAAACCCCCGGGATAGAACAGAATATGAGATATCTCAACAAGTGATCACAGTCCACCAGAAATAGAGTCGCTATGAATGAAGATCCGCTGGCCTTTGCAGGTTTATTTACTTAGCTGATTTTATCGTCTGACATCTCATTTTATTTCGAGAAAAGACACTTCTTTTTAGAAGAAAGTAAAAAATCTTGATGATAAGGCCATTAGTCCGTAACGCTGCTTTAGTTTTTTTTCTAGAAATAATTGGATCTGAATTTCTCTCAATTGCTCACATGGAATAAAGAAACTTTGGTTACCATTGTTAGACTATGAGGCATTTATTTTGTATGACAAAATTTGCTTCCTTGTTCCCGTAAAAGCACATCTACCAAAGTCTACTTTGATAAGCATCTTCTTTGAGGAGAATTTTAAATGTTGAAGCTCGAAAAAGGTCAATAATTGTAGATATAGGAGTATTAAACAAAGAAAGTCATGTAGATATAGAAACAAAGAAAGTTACCTTTGGTACTAGAGCCTTAAGGGTTCGGGTCAAATCGAGTCTGACAACAGAGGGAGAAAATCTACAATATTTTGGTAGAATTAGTTGTTTACATGGTTTGGATCGTAGCAGACTTATAAGTCTGTAAGTTTTTCATGCTTAAGTCTTAGATGATTTTAACCACCGCTTCTCCACCCTCCTCTGCGGAATAAACAATGAAGAACCAAGAGACAAAGCTTGCAGTTCGTTGGTTGGCTTTTTACCGCTTCAGTGGAGCAGGTTTTAGACACTGTTAGTGTGTCAGATTTCTAGGCTCATTTCTTTAAATCAGCTAAAAAGTTCAAATATGTTCTAAAGAGATAATCTAGCGTTTCTCCAGTCTGTAATGAAGAATAAAGCAATCTGTTGGCGCAGTCTGACTCACGAAACCTCTTGAAAAATCTGTCCTTCAAACTTTAAACATTATCCAAATAACTATTTCTGTCTTTTTTTCGAACAGCTAACATGAAGTATCATGATGAAGTTGTCTATGATACTGTAGAGGATAAGCTTTGATAATAACAGTCTGCAAATAGAGAAGTTTTTCTTTTTTGCAGAAACAACGCTTTATAACTGAGGGCATCAGAGCATACCCCCAACGTTTGAAAAAATGCCTCATCTCTTAGAAGTGCTCTCTTTATAACAAAAAACTTACCTTTGCCAAAAACTTTCTAGTTGTTTCAGATCATATGCCTCTATTTACTTGATCGAACATTTGTTGTAAGGATTATTTTGACCAATGATATTCAGTGTCAGCTACTGAAGGACCAATCACTTAGAACTTCTGGTAGTAGATGAATGCCACGAAAAAGGGGCATTCAAGTTCCAACAGAACATTTTTTCAATTTTCACAATATGTTCTCTATGATATCTGTAATATCTTTATGATTCCGTTAAGTTGTGATAGTGTTAAATTCTCTTATATTTGTAAAAGTCTCGTATAGAAAATTATATGTAAAAGATCGTGTTATCAGAGTAAATGGACTTCCGAAATTTCTATGTAGATTTGAAGTAATTGTGCAAATGGTCACTAGAATTATTTTGTCTTTTATAGTTGGTCTGAAGGCCGCGACAACTCGTCAAACGAGAGGTTAGCAACCATCGAGAGTGCTCCACTATCATCCTCGCTTCTGAATGATTGGCTTGGAATAAAAAATCTGAACACTGAAGCAATGGAAGAGCTCCAGAGGGAACTGGAAACTAATACGTCATTATTGCTCTTTGACACGTGAGGCATTTATTGGGTCAAGCAATTTAGGATGTACATTTGCAAAGGATGATAGTTTGACCAAACGCAATCTGTAAGATAATAAAATCTGATTTCTTTGGAGAACAATGTTTTGTATTTGAAATTTTATGATTTTGTATTTTTCATTTAATGAGAACCACGACAGTGGTATATACAACTGAAGCTCATTTCTTTCCTGTTTTTGAGTCGCAGTAAATCTTAAACTGAAGCAGGAAATATCTACAAATTTTAGACAAACTTGTGAATTATTAACCAGGAATTTTGCAGCGATTACCAAAGATTCACTTAGAAAGTGCAGAAAGAAAATTTTCTCCTTAAAAACGCGACTTTAGCTGTTATCAATATCGAAAAGACTCATTTACAACAATAATTAACGATTATTGCAGTGTTTCCATCGTTTTCAGCGGTATCGGTGGCAGAGAAAAAGAGGCTTTCTCAGCCAATTATCACCATCAAAATTGAAGTTTTGGTAATATTTTCGAAAGTTATTGCATTTGAGGATAGTGCAATTTTTTCTTGCCATGATTTACCTTTCTGATGAGGTACAATTCCTTGCAAGTCGATTCCTTTGCTTATTTCACTGCCATATAAATTATCAAAGTTTTGTTGAATCTTTGCTTTGCTCATTTTTTCTGTATTGCTTTCTTGTCTCTGTGAAATAGCCCCATCTTTGAGAAAAATTAGATTATCCCCGGGAAATGGATCTTATTTTCTTCCTGGTTTTGGTAGTAGCCGTTTCAATTGATCGTTCTTTTAGCCTAAATGTTTACATAAGATATTCAAGTCAATGTATGGTTTTACATCTTCGTTCCATTAATCGTAATATAGTTGAAATTTTAGAAATTTTAAGGGAATTTGCAAGTGCAAAAATCATGAAGAATCGAATGAACCCCCGTACTGTAGCTCTGCCTTTATCTTTCGGAGATAAAAATACGAGTTCATTATTCCTCGGCCTGAAGCCGAAGAGTTGAACTATGTGACTAATAAACAAAGATATGGAGTGTTATATGAATGTAATTTGTGTTCAAAGCAGATCCGTATCCTCCACGACTGAGAGACGGCCCTTATTTCAGATTACATATGCTTTTTTGTCTTCACCGAACACTATGAAATCGTTCTTCTGGTATCTCTACTTCCTGACTTTTTCCTTTGATGTACCCAGTCTCCTTTTTGCACCACCGCCAGCACGGGGGTGATATAGCGCACTATTTTATGGTATCTGCAAAAATTTTCTGCTTTCAAAGCTTGTTCAATTGCTTCAACATAGAAATGGATTAACTCCCAAAATAACCGCAAGCATATGGGTTATCTTCTAATTTTTCCTACGTTTCTTTAATCCAGCTAGAATTTTTGCGCACATACATCAGCTGCGAATGACGCAAACGGTCGAGCATATGGAATACGTAAATAGCTTTGTTTGTTTCTAAGTTTGTAGTATTTTTTAAACTTTTTTTCAAATCAAAATACGTGCTTTATTTGCAGCTAAAAGCCAATTAAATGCAGTACACTAAAATTATAACAATTTGAAACGCGTGTGGGGAGTGTGCAGTTGGAATCGATGACGTCAGTGTCCACCTGCAAGGGAGGGGGGGGGGGGTGAACCAGCAACAAGTCTCTTGGTTGTAGGATAGAAGAAGACTTGGATATACAGATAAAGGATTCAGACGCATCTCGGGAAATTGGCCATAATAACTTTTTCTCATATTTTTAGCATTAAGATAATCTTTCGGACAAAAAAAGGTGCTCCCGGTCTCTTTTTTAGCAAAATTTAGGCCCGCCCTGCTTCATTATGTATACCACAGTTGACTTCAAGAAGTAGAATGCTTCTAAGAAATTTTAAAATTTGAAGTAAAAAGTAGAACTTTGTAAATCAAAGGATACTTTGTAAAGCAGTGTCTTATTGTAATTGATCTTCTTTCGATCATCCTGTTTTTCCAGAATTTGTCTCAGAATAGACTGAGTAACACTTTTTTGTATAAATACCGTAATTTCTGCTTAACCTTGAACAGATTTAGTTTGATTATATTTTTAAAATATTTTCAAAAGAAACCGTGGGTGAATCATCTTAAAGAATAGAAAGAAGATGAAAGTCCAAGCTGTCAGTAGAGTATGGTTAGGTAAGTCGCACTCAAAACATAAGATTGCCTTTTGCAGTTCTGTTACTCTTAAAAATAATGAATTCAAAGAATGGCTAGGGTACTGCTTTTGGTGAAGTTTAAGCCTGATTAATTATTTTTATTTTTTTTACATTCGAAAAATATGAATTTTTATAGGTAGCCATTATAAATGTAACGCTTTTTTCAAAAGTGCTTTGAGTTTTACACACTCTTTAAAAAGGAACCAACTTTAGAAACCGTGTCCTCATATGACCAAAAAATTAAGAAACTATTGTGCTGATAACTCTCAACCTAAGGAAACGATTTTATTAAGAAAGGGATTGTAATGATTCTTTGGCACCCATTTTCTGATAAACGACTGGCGCTCATTTTCTGTTTCGTTGGCAAAAATAATAGAAAGAAATCTCCTAGCGACTGACTAGGTGATCTGGTATATGTTATGTTACTTTTTGTTTTCTGAAAAGTAGCTCTTAAGCGCTTGGTGTTTAAGAAACTTCAAGAGCATTTAATACTTAAATCAACAAAAAGAATTATGAAACTGCTTAAAGCTTAGTCCTATGAAAATGTGTGCCTCAATTTGTCAGGCTTCTATATTTCCTTCATGGACATGTTTTACTTAGATTCCATTCACTTCAAGTTATAATGCGCTTGCCAGAGTATGAATGTGAAGGAAACAGATTTGTTTCGCCTAGGTAACCAACGCCTAGGTATTAAATGTAGAATCGTTCTTTCCCTTGAAATACCCTCTCAAAGTGCCCCAGCATCTGCCCCAAGGTTTCCTCATTCTTACGTTTGATCAGCGAGAAACCTGAATTACAAATAATGATGAATCATGAATGTAATTACCAGACTACTTCATTTATATATTGATTGACACCTTTATGTTTGCCAAGCACCGCTTAAGTCGCTTAAGCAGAAGATCCAGCAACCAACACTGTTATTTGTTATGCAGCTAAATTTGTTGAATGATATGAGAAGCAAGATTCATTAAACAACTATTTGCTTTTCAGCGTTGAACAAAGTGCTAACATTCTCGTGATTTGTTTATATAATGTGCAATACTCTAACACCACAGGGGTAAAATATATGCTTAATGCTGCTAATTCAGAACTATAAAGCGACAAAATGCTTGTGGTAAACTTGTTTCTACAGATTTAGGACTAGGTTTTAGTCTTTTATTCATCTCTAACGATATTCATTCATCTTTGTTTCTCAACATTTCCTGAAACATTAACAAACAATAATCTTTATCTCTATAGTCTTTAGCGGACCCTTCGGCATTATTTCAAAGAGGCGCAAGTGCAATCTAACTAGAAAAGTTCAAGGAAGAGAAGCCTCCCGGAAATTAGATCCCCTTAACAGCCGTATATTGTCGGGAGATTGGAGCCAAGAGGTTTAAATTGGCGCGCATATGCGTCACATCAGGAATAAACCATCAGCTCTCAAGGTATTGACAAATTTCTTCAAACGAAGTTTTTTGAAAACCGCAAAGAAAACGATTTTTGAAAAAGTACAGTGGTTACAGTAAATTTTGTTTAAATTTAGCCACTAGAAAGCAGTAATGCTTGTTGTTACTTAGGTCCTACTTCTGATTACCCTACAATTTTTACAAAGACTGCCACTAAACTCATTATTGAAGCGTCTACACACAATATTTTCCAGAAATGCGAGATTTTTGGGGTCTAGGGTATGCCCCCGAACCCCCCACTGGAGTGCGCCTCAGGTGCTCTTTCGTTACAGTGCCCTCCTTCCCCTTTGAATAAAGCAGCTTTAATTTGCCATGTTTTATGCCTTCGTGCAGTTAACTGCAATAGATAGTGCTTTACCTGCGATGAACAAAAGCCTCGCTTTTTAAACAAATTTTATTTATCTTTTATATGAAATGCATATGATGGGGATAAGCCAACGCCTTAAACCAAACGAACATCCATTGCTCTAAACACATAATCTAAAAAGACATATCCTTCTTGGATCTATATACACAGACAAAGAAGCCCGTGTAAAAATTAGAAGATATTGCGTAGAATCATCGTCGGATTGATTCGTCGACGCGATTAATGAAAATGAACGGTCGCCACCTGCTCGCGATTTATCGGCAAATTCATTTATTAATTTGTTTCAATATGAGGGATGAATGAAAATAGCTGAAATTAGAAAGCCTGCCTTCCTAGTGCTTTTAAATAGTAATCTAATAATACCCGAGACATTAAAACCATTCTACTGTCTACTGTCAAAATGATATTTTGGCAATAGAATTGGAGAAGCGGCGGTGTCCTTTGCAAATAATTAGACCAATAACTAGATTATTCGACCACTAAAATAAGAAATGAAAATCCAAAGGCTTAGATACCATCCTTGAGGAACGACGTTTTATATGCTGTTAAGCCGAATACACTGTTTCCTCTTATGATCATACTTTTATTTGCCAGTTAGTATGAAAAAATAGCTAATGAAAAATAAATGTTGACAAGCATATTGATTCGATGTTTTTATTGCAGAGCTTGTCATAAACAGAAGAAGCTTACATGTTACCAACCTCAGCTAAGTTTGATAAACTGGATTTTGATACCGAATCTTGTACAAAGAATTTTTCACGAATTCTACTTTACTCTGTTGTACCTTGTTCTCGGTCTCTATCTTGGATATTCAAAAGAAACTGGGCAAGAGAAATCCACGAGTCATTTCACCTAAATGATATTTTCTTCCAATCGCAAGTCCTTTTTGTGATATTAGTTCAGTGCTTTTTCGTTTGGACGAAAAAAATTAAGCCAGAATTTTGATTGGCAATCAAGTATTGGAAAAAGGATACTTTTTTTGATTGGATCTTTCTTCACTTTTCCAGAACACCCCTTGAATTGGTACGCAGGTCTTATACTCAATGAAAAGGTAAATGATACCTCTTACAAGTGTATGTGGAAATCTTTGGCCGATCTTCAAGTGCCATAGATATATAAGAAGGCATTTTTCAAAATAGAAACCAACATCACATACCGTAAATCCTCGAATAAGCCCCCGTGGGCTTATTTGCAAAAATGAATTTTTTTGGGGAGCTTATTCGATGGGGGACTTATTCAAGGGGGTTTATTTCAAAGTTTAGTATTTTCTTCAAAGGTTGACATAAAAATGACAATTTTCTCAATGAAATAAAATTGACAAATTACAAAGAGGCTTTTTTGCAAAGGAAGCTTAACAGTCAATATTCTTCTTCGCATATTCAAGATTTCTGATATCATTAAAGGAGTTACAAAGTGCTGTGTGAAGATCTAATGTTTTATCACCGCAAAAGTCAATTTTTTGCTTTTTGGTCTCCAGTCAAAGAAAGTAATACTGTATAGCTATTGTCCTTTGGGGGCTTTCTTGAAATAAGATATTATTCTGTAATTATGCTGCCCTCGAATAAGCCCCCATAGGGGCTTTTTCGAGAGGGGGGCTTATTTGCAAAAATTATTAATTGGGTGGTGGCTTATGCGAGGGGGGATTATTCGAGCGTAGAGGATTTACGGTAGTCTAAGCACGATTTTCTGGTCTATGGGAATGAATTCTCAAAACCGCAATATTTTGAAAGCATATACCTATGTGAATCTTAAATGCTGCGGCAGTCAAATTTGAGGCTTCAGACATAACAAAGAATTTCAATCAGTGTGCTTGATTGAAATTGAACATTTATTTGAGTTTTGCAGTTCAGTTGAAAATAAAGGCTTTGAATAATTTCATCCAACCCTATTAAATAGATGTCCTACTTGCTAAAACCTTCATCGTTAGTGGAATACGTTTTTGCTTGTAAAAACCCCCGGGCGCATCTGCCGATTTGTTTTTCGTCGATCCATGCATGCATTGCGTGAAATTTTGTCGTCTTGATTGTCAGATCTTCAGCCACGGAAGAACATACAGCTAATGTGTGTAACAACAGGTTGTCATGCGGTCAGCATATTGAGTACCGCAAAGATCATATTTAGGGTCAATGTTTCTTTCCAAGTAATTAAAATAACATGAAGTTAATTTTATCGTTTCTTTTGCTCATCTGCAGTGCTGTAATCGGTATACGAAGGCACCGTTCGTCTGCAGCAGCCCACGAGGAAGCCAAAGGTATTACACGATTTAATAAACAATTACTCAACTGTACCTGTTGTGTTATCTTGATGTAGTTCTGCAACTGTAATTTTAGTTGAGCACGTTTTTGAAATCACAGCTGATACCTCTCTCGTGTTATTATTCGGAGAAAGTTAGGAAATATTGTGCCAGAAAGTTAGGAATTATTATGAATCTTAAAAGAGCAGTAATGCACCCTCCTCAAAGCTCTAATCCCGTATACACGACGCTAGAGATACGCTCACAGACAGAGGCAAAGGGATTTCCCTTGTTTCTTTCCTCTAATCAAAATTTGAGCCACCCTTCTGTGACGCATGAAATGACTAGTAAACTAGCAAACCGCTAGGAAGTTTTTCAATTTTGAAATTTTTACTTTTGATCACCTGCTTGCAAATACATAACAAAAGATCACTTATTTATAGCAGTCACAAATTGCTTTTACATTTCAACTATCGGATGTTTGATTTTTATTGCAATTCTATTGCTAACGTCTCAGCAAAACACATTCAACACCTCTTTGCTTGTGTCAAAATACTGGTATTTTAGGCGGGATGAAAACTGACCATCTCCATGCTCGATTAGATATTGGAAAATGTTTTCTATTTCTCTTGTTGAATTATCCTTTCATTGCTTGAAGTGGATATCAATACTTGCAAAAATTCTTCCAAAATCTGTCTAGTGTTCTTAAAATTGAATCGTAAAGCTATTAGGTATTATATGCTCGTAAAGCTATTAGGTACTAGTATCTCAATCAATAGTACAAGACCAGATTTTCACTACCTACGACTCACGGGAAACTTAGGGATACGGCACAGGCAGACGCTATTCGCAAGAAATGATTTTTCTGTATTGCAGTAGAGTAAAAATCTTTGTCAGGTCAGAGAATACTAAACCCTTGCTTAAAAGCCTTTAGCAAAAGTCGAAGATTTTTCAATTGTAGCTACCATACTTTACATATGCACGGGCTCTTGATAATTCATGGTTGAAAGAAAAATGAATGCCCTTACAAGCTGGTTGCTCTGTAGCTCCGTGTTACCAAGGAATCCAAACTGCGAAACAAAGAATTTACTTTTGCGAAGAATAGTTAAACTGGTGGCTGTCTCTTATACTTTTGTTTGGTTTTTTTTCTTCAGCATCGACAACGGTTGTTGCTGTTATCCCCTATTATTTTTTACCTCTTATTCTATACCAAAATAGTTGTTTGAAACCCGTCTTCACGGTTTTTTGATATAGCTTTTCTCTCATCCTTAGTAAACCACGTAATGGTCCGTTACATTAGAGATTAGAGGTAGATCGTCGTATTCATCAAACACTCAATAAAACTATTTACTCGACTCGTACATCATGGGTTTGATATTAAAGATTTCGGAAAGACCAATGAATTCAAATGAAGAATGGATGCTTATTTCATTGACTAACAGAATAACAAATTTTCAAATTTATCATGCCAGAGAATGTATCAATTTTCTCTCCAGTCATAGCAAACACTGCAATATAGTACTTGGCACCTGATTTATCCGCAAAAACAATCAAAATGTCACCCGAACTTAATCTTGTTTCTGAGACACCTAGCAGGCTTTATAACTTATTAAGAACATTTACTTTTTCTCTCTTACCCTCTCTGTATGTTTTTAAAAGTTTGAGTTTATCCAAAGTCCTTTAAAGTGATTGGAAATCCATTCGATAGGAATGTAGCAATCAGACATCATTTTAGCCAGTAATATTTACCTTCATGGATGTTATCACCTCTTTGAACCACGCTGCCATATGATACTTCCCAATTCAACCACATGCAACACAATTATTCCTAATTTTTTGTATTCTTAATGCATCACAGATAAATAAACTTCCCGCATCTTAAAGATATTTAGTGCCTCCAAATTCTTCAGGTCCTTTTCTTCTATGTACCACATTATTTCCGACATGCCTTATTCAAATAATTATGCTTTAAATGTATTATGCAAAAGCAGACCTAGAATAGCTTCGAAAATTTTAATTAATTTTATTAAGAGGCAAATTAATTTTGTTCCATAACACTTCAATTTGTTTCCCAAAACAATATTTTCTCAGTGTCTTATGAAAATTTTGCAAAATAATTCAAATGTGCTTCATTTTGATTTGAATCATAAAAACAAATGAAAGCAAAAAATTCAGACAAGTATGCGTCGTGATTGTAAAATAGTGAACGGGGAAATCAAAAGTTGCTTATCGACTCGTCGGAGGCGTATTTGTGCCAGCTGCACCTCAACGAAGTGCTGTTTCGACTGAATGGAAACTGAAAATATTGGCTAATCTCCTTGTCTCAGCAACTTTTATCTAAAAGCCTTCAATATGCAGTGAGTAGTCTCATTGCATTGAAGCAGAAATCCCTCTTTGCTCTTCCTTTTCATGCTGTCTGGTGAGTATGACCTCGATTCCTTAATTGAATACGGAAAGAGATAAAGAAACCGTGTACAATAGACAGCATTACATCCGACTTGAAGATTAGGCGAACAGCGACCAAACATCTGTTGTGTGTTAGATCTTAAGTGTTCAGAGAAAGTTGTATTTTCCAGTCGTATTGTACGTGATTCAGTGTTCTTAAATACCTACGGAGGTCAGAGATGCTTTAAAAATTGCAGTACAAACATTGTAATTATGATTTTGATTGTTAAAAGACAAAATATTTGTAAAAAAGGCTTTTTGCCATTGAAGAAACCTGTTCTTTGTGTATACAAGAAGCATTAATGAAATATATTGGCACAGTTTAGGATGCAAAGTTACTTGACCATACCAATTTTTCCATTGGTTACCCTTTCAAAAGTTGAAATACAGCTGACCAGAAACCATCCTGTTACATATCATGACACATAAAACATTATAAAACAAATAAAGATGTGGCTTGAGGAAAGCCAGAGGCTCGACTAGCAATTTTAAGAAAATTTGTTCATGCATAGGCACATTCAAAATAATATAAAAATCTCTGGTAATGCAATATATTAGCTCGGGCACCGCGGAGCAGCTCAAGCACCCCACTTTTTGCAAAAAATGCCCAATGTTTAATACTAAACTACCAGTAAAGCCTCTTTTTATAAGGTTTTAGCCCCCCCCCCACTTTTTTAGACCCCTCACCTTTCTCAACGCTCCGCGGTGCCTGAAGCTAGAGGATAACCAGGATTGTCGCCATGTGAGATGTCTGGGAAAGACACCCACCCCCTCATTTGAACAAAAATTATGTCGCATAAACGAATGGTTTTTTACTTTTGGGAGTGCTTAGTAAGAAAATTCTTCTTGACAACCATCAGCCTGCTTTATAGCCTTTCTATGTGTTTTATTTGTATAACAGGTTGACAATAGTGAATAACTGAAGCTGTATCTAAACGGTTGCTATACTCAGTTATAAGATCATGAAGAATGCCTAGGCCAGCACCCCCGACTACTCTTCGCACACAAAGGTGTATAATTATATTTATGAGAATTTCAAGTCAAATATCACAGAGAAAACTGTTTACATTTGATGAAGCTCGAAAACTCTTGATTACCAGCTGCTATGCTGAAAAAATCTACCTCATTTTTTATTGAATTGCGATGAAATTTAAATCCAGCCATAATCCTTGCATATATGCTTTTTAAAGTTCAAGGCAAAGCTTCTAATCATGTTTGAAATGTGCACTTTCTATCTAAAACAAGGAATTTTTTCTAAGCGTTAATGCTTTCCTTTAAGCGTTCTTCACCTTTAGCTCTTTCGTGTCTCCTTAAGTTCGCTTTTCTATTGCAAGCCACTCGTAATTACTTGTAATTATGCATTGATTACCCAAATAGTAAGTATCTTAAAAATTACCATATCGCTGAATGCGCTGTTGAGGAAAACTGAAGTTAAAAGCTGTCTATAGCTGCGACTTAAGTATACTTGATTCGTTTTTTCCCTTCAGCGCTTCGAGCATTAGGAGTACATCAAAGCAAAAGCTATGCCTGGAAATGTTTTTTGAAACCTTTCTCTTGAAAATAAATTTAAAAGCGATTTTACCAATCACCCATTTGTAAAAATCATTTGAAAACATTGTGTTATTTTGTTTCAACATGAAGATTTTTGAAAAAATACTGACTATTAGGAGTCTTAGAACGAAAATGCGTTCAAACCGACCTCTTCATAAAGGGCAAGATGGTTAAACAATTTAAAAATATGAATTCTGATCAATTTTGGTAAATGTTCATTAAAATTCCCCGAAATTTCAATGTAGTGCCAAGACCCATTATTGTAACATCACAGAATGTCCCAGAAGCAAAAAAAGTTGTTGCTTCAAGGCTTCAAGGTCACTTGCGCTAGAATATTCAAGCCCCCTTTCTATAAAATAACCTAGAAACCTCAATACTTTTCTCATCCAACTCTAGTTTAACCTAGGTTCCGGGTCGTAGCTACTATATTTTTGCTTTTAAGGAGGGGGGGGGGGGAAGCAGGAGCCTTTGAAATGATTAAAATCCTTTGCTTCCAAAAAACAGTTCCATTTACTCCTGGTGCCTTCCGCAATAATTCTATCTTTCGTACGATACTAGGACTCAACCCAATAATCTCTTGACAGGGCTTGTAAATTGGTTCAACAGGGTTGCGAAAATCCAGCAGATTTTGTTTCCTAGATTGGTATTGTACTTGAAAATACGTTTTTAAACTAGTGATAAGCATTTGCACTTTTAATAATGGTGCGTTATCTATAGGCTGATTAAAAATGAGCCTTTGAAGTTATCAGCGGATCGAAACAGTAAGAAAATTGGTTGATTATTGAGGAATATGGTCTTTAACCGGTAGGCCTAGAGTCCTCTTGATACAATTTCAATTGTACTGTTATTTATTTGCTCGCTATTTACAGTTTAGCGAATATTTCAGTCCCTTTACTTGTTCTTATCTGTTTGTAGGTGAAACCACCAATTAAGAATCAAGTTTAATAAGGGGTACATAACTTTGCAATGTAGGATAGATGGTTTATTCAGAAACCATCGGCATTACTTGCTGCTAGTCTTTCTACCATCTTTTCTAATTCTCTTCTCCTTTTCTCTCAAAATTTTCTAATCAGATTCAAGTTGCAAATTGAAGCAGGAGAGACTGATTGCTAATAAGCATCAAAAACTATGCATGCATCTTTTCTCGAAACAGCCAAAGTTCCTTTGGGGTTATAAGGGGGTAATTAACCCCTAATTCTTTGCAAACATGGTCCTTATGATTATTCTAGAAATTGTTCAAAATGTACGGAGTAGGGGTAGTTCATATTTTTCGCAAAACTGGTGTATAGCACTATAATGAGATAAAGAAGGGTGTGGTCTGATGGGCCTCTGCCCCCAGTGAACCCGTCACTGTCATTGCTTCAAAAGAGATATTCCCGTTAAGATAGAAGTAACCCAAATTAGCCTGTATTTGAAGAGGACAACGGGGGCAAAGTGCAAAGAAATAAGGCTAAACAATAGTAAATCGAAGAAAAATGCTCAATTTTGCAAGGGCAAGGGAGGCCAATGCCCTTGGTGCAAGGGTCCTTGAATGAACTTGCTTTTCAGGAGAGATTCAATGCAATTGTGAAAGACTAAAATTCTTCAAACAAATGACTATTATTTTTTTTAATCTGTTTCAATGAAAACGATACACAGTCAAAGTAGGTCATAAGTAAGTACTCCCCCTGGTCAAGAGAAGACATCAAATCTAAACACTTGTGAATCCGACTTTTAGCGAGCAGGTTTAAACGGAAACAGAGCCGAGTCAAATAATTATAACAGGTGCCATATCGTTTGAGTGCAGTTAAATGTATTGCAGAAAACTGCTAATAATCGACCTATACTCAAGAGTTTCAAACAAATCGTATATCAACCCACCATCCATTCTGCCTCTACATAAAAACGCTTACATGAATTATTAACCGTGTTTTTCTTTTCTAGCCGGCTTCAATTTCAACATCACCCACAAAACACAGATACTAACGAACATTCATTCTAAATACATTCTTTCGTTGATTTCCTTATTTTTTACTGTCTTCTTTGGAATCAGCGTCCAGACAAAAAGTTAAGCTTCATAAAGCAAAAATGAGTTCAAAATTAAAATCAAAGGCTGAAAAGGGTCCGGATATAACCGCTGCAATAGTTCTTTATAGTTTAATTTTGAAAATATTGTTTAAAGGGCAAAGTTGGAGATTATTGGCACTAGCTATATTCTATCCAACTTTAAAAAATAATTGTTGTTATAATGTATTATTATTTATTTCCCTCTTTCTTCTATGCTTAATTGGTCTTAAAAATGCTTATTTCCATTCCTTCAGAAAATATTTATTTATTACTGAGCAGCAGTTGATTCATTAGGCAAATTAGTTTTCCATGTTACTCATTGCTTTACTCAGAAAAAAATTTTTAAATTTCCATAAACAATCTACTCTATCTTTTGCTTCTTTAACCAGTTCGCCACCATCTTTTAGCTTGACGTTTGTCTGTATTTTCAATTAATAATTGCCTCTAAATTGCCTTGCTCTTGTCCCAAATACCATATAACAAACAGACACAATGCATCATCATAATCTTAAATAAAATAATTCTCTCTTGTCCTGCATTTATGATTTTCCAAAAACATTTTTCCACTGACAAACTTTCTTTAGCGAGAAATTTAGTACTGTTGAGAATTGACTTAAAACAGTTAAAAGCAATAAGGCTTGAAATTTATCATTTCAAATAACAAGCACACATTTTAAGGCAAATTTGTATAATGTAAATTGAATGAAGACTTGTAAAAGGTGTTTAAATTCGTTGTTGACCATATAAAGCAAGTTCCTTTGAAAATGTCTGCACTAGGTGAACAAACAGTAACTCACGACTTTCGTTTTTCCTTTAATTAATTCACCCTCTTTTCAACAACAACATTTCATTGTGAAAGTTATTTCCTTTTCTAATATTTCGTGTATTTTTCGTATCGTATATTGCGTAGATTTAAACTCTAAAATTTCGTTTTCCACATACATTCTTGATAAAGGCTAAAAAGGTAGAGTTCCTTAAGTCGTGATCTCTTACTAATGCCAAACTTCTTACTTTACAGACGCTTTTAAGGTTGTGAAAAAATGGATCCAAAGAAAGCACTTAGAGTTGACATTACCGAAAAATGGAGGTATTGTTTCTTTTGCGTCGTAAAACGTCTATATAAAGCATTTATTTGTGTTCTGAATTGAACTCTTTTGCGACTACCAATACAACGAGAAGGCAGATCTAGTCTGTATGATCAGCTGTTTCGGTAACACGTGGCGCTTTTTATTGATGTACACCAGTTGTTTTGGTGGTTTTAACCTTTCTTGGTAATTTTCAAATGATTGAAGTAAATCATCACAAGAAAGACCTCAATAACGCAGTTATGTCTGCGGCCAATACCATGTTAGTAATTTTGTAGATGTTTTTAGGACCGCCGACAAGGGAGCCGGATCAAGTGTCCCAGGGTCCAGGCTCATAACTATGGAATGTATATTGCTTATCATATCCTGGAATCAGGGGTGTCGAGCTAGGGGGCTCAGGGGGGCTGAGCCCTCTTGTTAATGCCAAAAATTGGCAAATTTCTACTTTTGATATTGTTTTCTGCAGCATTTTGTGCAAGAGCCTCCCTTGTTATTTTGATAGCACTACACCACTGCCTGGAATCTATATTCATTAAAAGAGCCCACATGTATTGGTTGCCTCTGCAGCCCAGGCGGCCCTGGATGCTTCCTTTTTTGAAGCAATGCACAAATAGTAAATTTTGGGAGACATAAATAAGACTCTTAGGGTTCTTCTGAGTAGTCTTCTAAAAAGTAAATTCTAGCAAATTTTTAATACTTTTAGCTTTTGGAATTGATTAACATTGAGTTGTGTGCTTATGCGTCATTTATTAAACTACCAAAATCAAAATACAATATCCTGTAGAAGAGGTTTGCCCAGAAAAGGATTCAGGGTTATAGAAACGAAGAGATTAAAGATAAGCACTCACGGAGTTCAGTCACTGGCAATGGGATATCTCAAGCCAAGGAAAAATTTATTCGTTTCTTGAAAGTTCAAATAATGGTTGCTATGAAGGAAAAGATTTTTCTTTCACATTGAGAAAAACTGAGTTTTTAGCAAGTTTGAATATCGGATCTTGGCGTTGTTTATTTCGTAATGATTGCAAACATTTCTATCTTGCTCTTAATAGTTATGTTAAGTGCTATTAGGGTTTAGTGCTATCAAAATAACAAGGGGGCTCTTGCGCAGAGCGCTGCGAAAAACGATAGCAAAAGTAGTAATTGGCTACTTTTTGGCATTAGCAAGGGAGCTCAGCCCCTCTGAGCCCCCATAGCACTACACCCTTGAAGACCTATACACCTATACATTGCACCAGATTTTATCTGAATGTATTTGAATAAAGCAATGACTTTATTTGATGAATCACGTTTTGCCGTTGCTTTTTCAAGTCGTAAAGAGCATCGTGTATTTAAATTAGCTATGTGGGTTTGCCAGGAAAGTAGCCACTCATAAAAGATTGTAATTTTTTAAGATCCTTTTATCTGAACAAATAGAGCAAGCTTTCGACACTGAGGATGACAAAATAATTCATAAAAACACCTTCAAGGTTAAGTATGCTCAAATATGTGTGCTGGTTTATTTTAGAGATATTTGAGGGTGACATTGTGATGAGCCCCCTGCTGAGAAGGGCAGTTTTAAACAAATACTCAAAACGCAGTGCGTTAGTGGAAGCTGATCACAAATGGCCTGGTGGAATCGTTCCATATGAGCTGGACTCAAGCCTGCGTAATTCATTTTCTATGTCTAATTCTCTATTTCTGACTCAAAAAAAATATCCTCACTTATTCTCCTTTTTTGATAGTACGAATTGATATCAAATTGATGTGATACGTAAATGCTGATCTTATTGTGATATATTGAATCATTACTATACAATGTTCAGTGGGATAAAGCAAGTTTGTTTGCTTCACGATCAACATTGATGAAGTAAATCCCGTTGATGCTTATAAGATGAATTCTTTTCTAAAATTTTTCTGTTCCATTTTGATAAAACATAAACCAATAGCTTTGTACTTTATTGATGTAGTGAGGTAGATTTTTAACTGCTGACTCAATAACTTTGAGAGATTTCAGGCAAAGATTAAGGTTTTGACAGAATAGCTACTGCTCGTTTCCTAGTTTACCTTGCCCGTACTGAATAAGGCATACTGGCCTTCCAGAAGCACAAATCTGTTCCTTCAATTAGCTTTTAGTTTTAGCAACCCTATTAGATTCTCAAGTACAATCATATTGTTTTTTGCAGCAAATATTATTTTGTCAAGTATCGGAAGAGCAATGAGAGAGTATCACAAATTTACATGCATTCGTTTCGTACGCCGTACAAATCAAAAGGATTTTGTTCTGTTCAGGTCCAAGAGACATGTGTAAGACCAATACACCTTTTATTTTGTTTCTTCTTCAAGTCATGCTCTTTTGTGCAATTAGAGAAAATATCTTAGAGAGGGTTTTCTCGTTTGGAGCTTCAAATCAATTGTATAGCACTCGGTTAGCTTTGAGTTGCCACCTCGAAGTTTTTAAAAATGTGTTAAAGCACAAATGTATAAAGCAGCATGAATGTATGCAAGAAGTTGGGCTTTTAAGCATTTCATGGCAATTTCTTGTTGTTTTTATCCCATTCTAACACCAAGTGAACGCAGATCTATCGTGGCAGAGCAGCAGGACAAACGCTGATGTTGTCCAATAACATGTTAGGTCCACTATGTGACTAAACAACTTTCTCTCCTAGGCTTCACAAAAAAACACAAAATTATCTATATTTCTCACGGTACACCTGCAAGTAGACAATTTGCTTTTTAATCATTGATTTTTCTGCAATTAGATGCAGCTCAAGTGTAGGAAGAATTGGTGGGCAGCAAAACATCACGCTTGGTCCCGGCTGCTACCGACTTGGAACAGAATTGCATGAGATGATGCACGCCCTTGGTGTGGTACACGAGCAAAGCAGGCCAGATAGAGACAATCATGTTAACGTCATCATGAACAACGTGGATCCAAGTAAAAAATATTTCCTATATTTTCAAGATTATCTTTTTATATGGAGCAATGCTCGAGTGATGGGGAGGGGCTAGCATAAATTATCTGACGATAGGGCTGACTATACAAAAAGTTAACAATACAAAAACGTAAACCACAAAAATTACTTCAAAAAAAAAGCCTTGTGTTGAAACTTGTTGAAAAACTTTCATGTCGATTTTTTTATTCCAGCTTTGGATTAAGAACCTAGAATTCATCATAGATTCAAATTTTCACATTTTAAGCTCTCGTGTTGTTGTTTAAATGAGTAAAGGGAGGTTGATAGTCTCCTTAAGAGGTTAGCTGAAATGATACCCTATAGTTGATATTTCAACAGGTAAACACGAAGTGAACTAGATTATTACAAAAATATTACAAAAACATCAAACCTCTCTGTAGTGCACCGCATCACATTGCTGATAATACTAATGGAATTGAAAGGCTAGATATCGCAATAAAACTAGCTACATACAATATTTACTTCACTGTATGCGTGAAACTTCTTTTGCCAATATCCAAAAATCATGCAAAGCTTTTAGATTTTAAACTTATGAAATTAAAAGCTTGATGAATGCCAAGATGATATCAAGGTGTCTGAATGGGAATTAAAAAGATGTCTTACCGTTAATGAAAGCTATCTAAAGGTAATAAGGCATTAGTATGCCTTTATTGTAGCTGACACGAACGGCACTTAAAGTTAAGATAAGCTTGTTCTTATGAGCATTGAAGGCTGCTTAGACTGTAAGCCTTTAGCAAAAGGCTTATAGTACCTATTTACTATAATAATACTGAAATACTTTATACTATAATACCATGATATCATAAAACGATAATACTATATTACTAAAACAATATAATACTATGTCACTATAAGACGATAATACTACGGTACTATATATCACTATAATATCATGTTACTTGATTACTATAATACTAAGTTGTCGTCATACTATAATGCTATAATACTATAATTTAATGATATATTTTCTCCACATCGTATAAATTCCAGCATACAACCTTAGTATTGTGGATTAAAGTAGTACAGTTTTTATTTGCAAAAGTGATATTTTAAATTGCAAAAGCTCTTTTGGATGTCATGAAACATACTGAAATTCACCTTTTTAAAACATCTTTGTTAAAGACTTTCAGCTTATGCTAAAACTGAAATCTAATTCAATTTGCTACCACTGTCTTTTAATCAAATTTTAATCACCACACCCTAGCACTAATTGAAACCAGATGACTTTTTATCCACTTACGGCCTATTACAATAACAAAAACAATTTAAGAACTTCCTTATTCTCATGTCAATTTTATCATTGCTTAAGTTTGCAGGTGCTATTTACCCAACCCATTTTGCACACAATGCTTTAATAAACAAAATTTAGCTCTTTAGAAATAATGGTTCATTTGTGATAATCTAAACTTGCGATTTACTCTTCTTTCACAAGAGCAATTCCATTTTCTGGCCAACTTTGGCAAAATATATTTACAATTTCTTTTGTTGTTAACAGTCTGCGAAAATAGAATATAAAGTCACGTAAATCGTAATTTTTTAATCGAACTTATTAAACTGGTACCAATATACTGGTTTCCCATTTCATTTTGTCTTTCCATTAAGTGGGGCCCTAATTTTTGCAAAAAATTGTTGAGGTGATGTTTTAAACTAGAATATTTATATTGTTGACGTAACAACTTTTTCAACTCTAGCCAGCTTCCTTTCTTTGCTAGATTCTAGAAACAATTTTCAATCAATCAGCAAGAAGATATCTTGAAGCTCATTTTTTTCTGAATTCCTCAGAGTAGCATCCGTGGCTTCAATAATTTCCCGTTTTTGCCTTAATTCTTCATAAAATATTCATATAAGCAGGATTCTAGAAAAGAATTACGAATATAACAGAGTTTATCTTGAAGATCCTCTTCAAAACTCGTCAAGAATTGTCTTTTAGTGTCTGACCTAGACATGTTGTGAAAAAGCAAGCTCTTAATCTCTTCAAATCCTTTCAAATACGAAATTTTCCTGTGAAAATTTCCCAACTTCAAATGCACAAGCATCGGAACTAGTATAGCTATTCTCCCCCTGGCCTTTTTAATTATTGAAAGAAGTGGAAAAATTCCACAGAAAGTACTTAAGAAGGAGGATTAGAAAAAAAGCATGGATTCCTTATGTGTAAAAAAGGGTGAAAGAAAATTCTATTACAACGGATTTGAGTCAAGTTATTCTTCACGCCATTTATCATTCAATGCAAAACCATCATTCCTTAAGAGGTTTCAACTATCTTCAATTCACTTATATAAGTAAAGAAAGTGCACAAGATTTTGGCTAGATACCTCTAGGTATTCATGCTTTCTTGGTATGAAAACCTTGCAAATATGTCTTTAAGTTTTCTTGTTTTGGATTTGAGTTCAAACGCGAATAATTTGAGATATTCATTAAACACGCCCTTCCAGCCAATTATTCAAGTCCCAGATCTTCGATTCCCACCAATCTTAGTCCTATTCCCACCATTCTGCAGTCTAATAAAGATTTTGTAGTGTCGATTTTAGTACTGTAGCATTAACTGAAAAGTGTTTCTTTTTAGAGTATTTACACAACTTCCAGAAGTATGAATTCAACGATATTACAGATCTCAGTGTTCCATATAACTTTGCTGTAAGCACTTGAGTTTCTTATTTTGTAACATCTGGTCAAGTTTTACTTATCTTTCCTTTTACTTCAAAAGCTAATAAAACCTTAAATGTAATAAAAAATGAGCAAAAATAAAGCCCAAATTGGGCCTGATGCTGTAACCCGAAAACACCCTATGATACAGGAAAACTCTCGTCTTTTTGCATATTAAGTTATGGGCCTAATGCTGCAGCCACAATAGCACCCACCTTAATCTTACCTAGTTTGCCAGCTGCTTTCCTTAAAGCTACAAACTTTGCTCATTGACTTAGATTAATCTTTTACTCTGATATCATACGTCACAGTATTTGAAAACAAATGATGTCTAAATCTTCAATAATATAGCTATGAGTTTTCCCTAGTCTTAGCAAGTGGGGGTAAATTGTGATGTTGCTATGTTCTACCTTTATATAAATATGATAAATCAGTCACACCCATTTTGACGTCATAATTCATACATATTCTCTTTGCATATCTCAAATTACGTATGTTCTGCCTTGAGAAGAAATTTCTGTTTTCTGAAAGCATTGGTTACGTATAATTTTTTCAATAATTACCTTAAATATAGGCAAGCATTGCAAAGTAACTGATTGGCTATAAAACCAATAAAATTATATAATAAAAAATTACCACATGACTACACCCTAAAAAAGAATCCTAGGTGTAATCAGTTTGGTCATGTTTAGCATTGATAAAATGATATCTTCTTTGAAAAACAATCTTATGGGATCATGTTGATCGTATAGGAAAATTTGTTTTCATCAATAAGCAGAAAGAAAATTCAGTTCTTTGTTTCTATTCTAGAGCATTATGCACTACAGAAATTCAGCTTTCAGCAAAAATGGCGAAGAGACACTAGTCAGCATACGTTTCCCTAGCCTGAGATTTGGACAGCGCAAGATGTTCAGCGAGGGAGACATTGCTCAGATAAATAGACTGTACAACTGTGACACAAAAGAGAAGAAGATAGAACAGGTGTATCGACTGTCTAAGAAACTTGGCATTGAGGAAGACACTGAAATAATTCCAAATGCATTTGATGTGGTGGGAGATAGTACATTGACAGATGAATATAACTTTAATTTTTAAAACTAAAACAATGATTATCATTTTAAATTCTTCAAATGTCTATAACATCGTCAAAGAGCAAGATTTATTTTAAATTCAATACAATGTGCAAAGGGTGTAAGCGTACAAACATTCACTATATAATTTTCGGGGACTTATGCGTTTGAATTTCTTGAATTTCTTTGGGGAAGTTTATTTATTATCATGTAAATTACGTGTATGTAATGCAGATGTAATCGAGGAAGCTGGTCAAATAGCCAACGATGTTGCATTTACTGCTCTTTTTATCTTTAACTTAGAATGTGAAGGCTACATGGAAATCGTATACCCATATTTATAAAGTCTGACAAGTGGTGTGTCATTTGGCTGAAATTTCAGATAAAACAATGCGTCAAATAGATTGATAAATAATCGGGGGCTGTTGGACGAGGGGGGTGATTGCAAGGAGTTATTTTACTTGGTCAAGCTGTTAGTGAAATATGTAGTGAAAAATTTTCAATGTAATTCTTGTCACGTCTTTATGTCATATGAGATAGAAATATTAAGATGTTGATTTAATCACTTTCTCATTGTGATGTATGAGAGCAAGTAGTCAGGGTAACAGAGGCAAGCTCGAAAGAAAATGAATTGGGTTCAAAGAGACAACCATTGACATCAAACATGATAAGATAAATCGAGGCTAGAGATGATTTTAAAAATGAAAATAATTTCTTACTTTAACCAAGATCTCATTCTAAAATCCAGTGAAAATCTCTTTGTATCTCTTACTTATCTACATAATATCAGTACTGTTAAGCATGGCTCGAGCAATTTCAAGGCAGGGTGATTTAAGGATAATATTTTAGTTTTTACATTTGACGCTATCTTCATCATAGGCTAGTAAAATTATGATGGGAACTGATGGGAATTTTTCAAAAGAGATTTATTTAAAGGATTAGGCGCTGTTTAAAAACCTCTCTCTAAAGTTACGAAACTCGGATTTGTTGGGCCACAATTGTCGGAGCTTGTCAAAGCTACATTGAGGCGGAGTAAATATACAAATCATGAAAAAATTTGCAATAATCACAGAAGAATAAAAGCAAGAAAAGGAATTTGGTTTTGCCGTGACATATCAATAAAAACAATAAGCTCATAAAAGATATCTGCAAAGAAATAAATCATATCGTGGAAGGTTTAAAAGAAATCAAAGTAAAACAATCTCTATTAACAAATGCCAAGTGTATGATGAGGTGCTATTATTTATCACCTATATAATGATATATCATTTTTCAAATATACTTAATGGAAAATAATTCAAGTGTGAAACAAGTTGATTATAACTTGAAAACATAGCAAACTTGGTTCACAACCATCCCAATCTACGCAGTATTTCATTTGTTTTGCTTAAAGAAAAATGGAGTCAGTTGCCTGCACTAGGCATTCGAATCACCGATAAACATCTCGTTGATATATGCGCGGGAAACTCGTCGGGGCTTCATCTCATATTCATCATGCTGCGTTCTCGATGAAGACACGGACCTGTATTGTTTTGGTCTTCGGCCATCTTGACTAGCTCTCCGAGATCTTCGCCTACCACGCGGGAGCGCTTCTTCCATTTCGTTCATCAAAACGTATTCAGAAATTCCAGAATCTGAGTCACCGAAACTCTCGCTGAATGAAAACTGTGAGGCAGGGTCACTACTTACAGCAAACATTCTGTTGCTAAATTCGCTGCTTCTTCTTTCTCTCCTGAAATCCCTTTGCTCATTCTGTACTTCAAGATTGGGCCTAAAAGCAATGTCGCCTGGGTCTATGAATGACCGTTCGATTGGGACTCGTCTTGCAATCGAACTTGTCGACGGGTCACCACTACAAGATAACAGATCAGGTATACTAGAAGGAATGCATAATTCGAGAGATGCGTTTTGCAGGCAGAAAATGCAAGTGAACTTAGCTTGCGTAATATCTAAGCTTAAGACACTTCAAAGCGAAATACTTATTGGGAGATGCAGGGGCGGATCCAGCACAAAACCTGACTGAGTTCCAGGCCAAGGCTAGAGACTTTCAGATAATGCATTGATCATTGTGCATAAGACCACATTATTATTCTTCTTTATGCATTTTGGTACCATTGAGGGGGGAGTAGGTACTATCTACTCACTAAATCTAGATTCTGGATTTCTTTCCGACAAAAAACAGTGCCTCTGTGAAAATTTTTTCAACCCCCTCCCTTTCTTAATACCCTTTGTTTGTTTTGGATGCCACAGCAAAGTTTTTCCCTTTTGTTTTGCTCGCAATTTGTTGTTTTGCCTCCGTAGACACCAGCCTATTCATCAAAATATGGTGTTCCGTCTGAGCATAGGTTTTCCGTGCCATCAAAGACTGCAATTTAAAGCAAAGGCAGTTAACACTTCTGGAAGATTAACGATATCTCTTGGTCTTATCTCAAATGCTTAATAATCTGCTAGAATGCTGCGATGGTCGTGAGTATATGACATCTGCAGTCGCCATTTCGAATTCAATGTTTTGCAGTTCCACAATAGAACAGAAACAATAGGTAGCCAATCAACTACGGGCCACTGTACAGCTCTCTTACAAATATGGTATCATTTCCGAGTTCCAGATGCTGTTTTGACTGAGTTCCATCTGTGTTCCAAACAGAAAGTTTATTGTTTCAATTCATTCACTTCCGAGGCACAAAACGTTTATTTCCGAATTCTAGGATTGACTGCTGTTGTCCTCCACAGCGTCAGGAAAATCGTTTCCAAATCACGACAGAGAAGGAACTGGAAATTTTAAGATTTTGAAGAGACTGTGATAAAACTTAGAATTTTTAGGTTCCAATTTTTTAATTTAAATATTACTTGTTTCAGGCAACACTATTTTTAGCTGTATGTCGCAAAACTGACTGAGTTCTGTGCACCAAGGAACTCACTCTGGATCCGCCTCTGAAATGATAACAAACTGAGAAGCTCAAATAGATAATGAGTATTGCAAAATGATTCGCCTCCCTCGCACCAACCCCCCACCCCGTTATAGCTGCTACTGCTACTCACCCATATGATTCTGAGACAGCCGAACTTCGACGGCTCTGACCGCCTTGTTCATTTGAGAAGTAAGATCTTGATAATCTTTTCCTACCAACCCCTCTCTTTTGAGGTTCTTGGTCATCTGTTATTTTGACAAGTGATATCCGTCTTCCTGGACGTGCCTACGAGAATGCAAAGTTTATAAAACCCCTTAGACATTTTCGCTGTAAAACCAATGCTGTAAAAACGACTGAGTTTCTTGCTTGCAACATGTCCCTATTTGGCTATCACTTATTTACAATTAGTTAAAATCACGGCAATGATAGCCTTTATGGCTGATATAAGAGCAATTAGTTAAAATCACGGCAATGATGTGGCTGATATAAGAGCAATTTTTCTCCATATGAGTATTGTCCTCAAAGCCTAGCTATAGAATGTGCAACTACATGGCCTTTCCAGTTTTCATGTTTAAACCAAAGCATTTGCACTAAGAAGGAATTTTTGTCGAGAAAAAGGCCCAGAATAGGCTTCAGTATTTCAGAGTACATGTGTATCAAGCAACTGTAGAAATGACAAAAACTGTAGAAATGACAAGGTGTATTATATTAACCACAGTAACAACAACCAGGTGTATATACAACATTGGTAAGTACACCTGAATGCATTGCGTTTGCGTCACAAGCAGATCTTGGAAATAATTTTTGCTAATGGAGTAAGAGTTATGGCGTGTCATCAGAACGCCACCTTTACGAGTTTATGCAAATAGCAATACCTGAGTTGTCACAATCTTCTAAAGCATAAAGGATATCAAAAATGAAAATGGTTGAATAGAAGTTTGGCTGACAGTTTGAAAGAAAAAGACGTCATAATAACATTGCTCATACCCTTTGACTGTTGAGATTGCTTTCACTCATACTTCTGCTTGATAAAGAAGCACGTCTCAATGCTGGATAATAATCGTGGGGTTCATGGTCGATGACGTAAGATAACGAGCGACGACGCGTTCTTTCCCTGTTCTTTCTTTTAGCTTCATCGTACCCTACATAATCATCGAAACTAGCTCTTCTTGTCTGCTCCAAAGATCTCCGTCTCGGCGATACAACGTCAATTTGATCGATGATGCCAAACCTAGGGCCGTCGGCTTCCTGTGTATTGATGGCATCGTGCCTGTAGTGATCCACTGACGACGCAAAGGAACTCCTTTGATTACTGCTATTTTCTCTTGATGTCCAATTGTGATCTGTTATTGATTGCTGGATGCCAACTGAATTCATTTCTGGCTCACTGTATTGTATATTCGGCTGTGGAAGCCTTCGCTGATCTTCCCGTACTGCGCTATACATCTCTGCCTTTTCTTGACTTTCATTGTCCACGTATTCGTCGTCAAATGCACCATTAACCTCGCCAGGATTAGCATTCCCCTCTAATGCCTGACTACCAGGCTCGCGTGGTAGTGTATTCGAGGCGTTATCAGCGTGAGAAGGACTATCTCCTTCAACAGAAAAATCTGTCATTTGTGGCATTTCATGGAAACTGGCTCGACGATAAAGTGGAGGAAGAACAGCTTGCGGTTGAGTATTTTGCATCGAGAGCTGGTCATTTTCTGGCGGAAGATCTGCGAGTAACATTGGTGCCGATTGTTCCATAGGAAGAATATATTGCTGAATTTCTTCTTCAATTTCAATTGACGGATCAGACTCTTGGAAAAAATCCTCAGGAAATCCAGGCGAGCTTTCTACTGGAGCTATTTCTTGTGGAGCACTCATAGTTTCATCATCTGGCATTAGAATGGGATTTGTATCCTTATCGGCCTCATCATCTGGTTGCGCTATGGCACCACTGTAAAATTCGTTGTCCAATTCGTCTTTTCTTGGCAGTGCAAGAACCCCTAAGAATACAAGAATTGGAATAAGAAAATTCAGTTCATGGCATCTCTCATAAGCCCAAAAACGACAGTTAGGTATATGAAAGCTCAAGTACGACTACGTATGATATTTCAAGAACAACATCAGTAAATATTTAAAAGATAAATGACTATGAATTAACGTCGAAAGCTTCTTTACATTTATATGCCAGATTAACTTCCTTACCTTTATCAACCGGGTCCTCCAAAGATCCGTATTTCCCACCTGGTGCACAGCAGCTGTTGCAGCAACCAAGGTTGGAGAAACAACTTTTCCAGCAACACCGCGGTATGCAGATCCAAATCAACCACAAGAAGAAAAGAAGCAAAATTATGATGATCATAATGACAACAATCCACCAAGAAAAACCAATGTCGGAAGTGATTGGCAACGCAACGAATGCCGGGATGCATACTCCTGATTTTTCATCTGTTACGTTGAGAACCTGTCCAAACAAAGGCAAAACTTTATTTATAACAAAATTATATTTGATGCTGCTAATTACATGACTCCGATACACTAGCCAATATTGCCTTATGACAAATACTTAACATAAATTGTAACACTAAAGGTTTCGGTTTTTTCTACTTTCTTCTCATTGGTCTTCAACTATATTCTCCAAAACATCTAATGACAGTTAAGGACTTAACTAGTTTTATGTGACTCTTGGGAGAAAAAAATTTGTCTTCAAAAAGCAACACAAGTTTGTTGGAATCGCTAAATACTGTTTTAATGAATATACTCCAACCTTTCAAATTAATTAAACAGCAGGATTTAGACACAAAAATTTCCTTAAACATATTTTTTCAGCTTTAGCTAAATAACAACAGTTATGGAGAACACAATACAACTGACGACACCCATATTGAAAGAATTTATTATGTCAATGAAAGTTAAAACTGAAATTTTACCTCAAATTCAGGCTTCATGTGTTCAACAAACACTGGGTTTACACTGCCATTGACGAGCAGAACAGATCTCTTGATTTCTGCCACTGTCCCGTTTGTGCAGTTTCTTTCGGTGATATTTCGAAGCCCCCAAACAACCATCGATGCATTGCTGGATACATTGTATACAGCATGCCTGTATAAAAAAATCTCTGTCTTTGGATACCGTGTATATGATGAAATCTTTCTAGCAAAATTGCTCAGCTTTGTGCAGTTGTTTCCTATATTCTCACTTAGAAACACAGTCACCATATACGACAGTGTTGGTATGTACTGTTTTATTGTCAGATTGAATGTATCTCTTGCTTCTTTGCCGCATTTATCACGCACCTGTGACTTGTAAACAATCATTTTTACTTGCAAATTTTGCTTTACAGTGGCTTCAGAAAGACTAAGCAGCCCACAGATTTTTCCTTCCCGTTTTTTTACCCAGCTTGGGTCTCCTGGTGTAACGATATTTCTGTTTGCCATATAAGTCGTAGAGTTTGTTATGGAGCCATTGCCATAATTTCTGTAAAAGAACTGCCCAGGTTGTACTTGTAGCTCGTTGTAATCATCTTTTACTCCAGGATTTAGTTCTCTTGCGCACATGCCTAGCATTTTCTCCTCCACATTTCCCTGTATTCTGATCTCCGGCTGCATGAACCGTTTGAAGTCTTCCAAACTCTGCAGTTTCTTTCGGATTTCTTGGATCTTCGAACAGTCACATGTGTCACGCCTAATATTGCAAAAACTCCAAGAAAACCCAACTTGATTACCGTTGCGATTATAAAACAAATTACTGAGGGAATGATCATTAAAGAAGAATCCTATTTTGTTAATTAGCCTTATCTCTTGGTCAATAAACGACAGGTTTGAGTTCATGCTGGTTGCTCCTCTTACTGTCATTTTGAAAGTTGTTTGAGGAATGCTGCCTATAAGTTTAACTTTCAAACGCGTCATTGCAGTTTTGCCTTCTTTGTCTTTTGCAGAGAGCCAGTATGACCTATTGTTATCCTGCACTTTGATTTCTGGCAACCTAGGATATCCGTATACTATCTGCTTATCCTTATCAAACTGAATCCAGCTTTGTTTATCAATAGCTACATTCGCTTCTTTTGTAAATGAAAGCTCCAGGTTTCTGGTATTACCGTCTTCCGGGTCATAGAAAGTCTCCATCGGAATCTTGAAGTCAAGTTTCTGACACAATGAAACATTAATCTCTAAACTCTTTACGGCTACAGGAAATCTGTTTGATATACACGAGTTCTTTACCATCACGCTACTTTGATCTAATGTAAATGGTTCAATCGCAGCCTTAAAGGTAGCCCTTGGAAGACCCTGACTTGTTATCAAAAGATCTTTAACCATATTTAAAGCTCCTATATCACATTGGTTGTACGATGCAGAGCAATTTGCAAATTCAAGATTATAAACTCCATTTGCGGCATCAGCGTGTTTCATTAAACCAAAACTAAACTGTAATTTTTTTCTTACAAATGATTCGATTTTAGAGGAAATTAGCATAACATTGTCGACAGATTTGAGGCTGTTCACAGCGCGATATGAAAATTTGTAAGTCACTTTGGGTTCTGAAAATGATGCGAACGAGAATAAGATTCTCACTGATCCCTCTTGTCCAGAAGAATCTTTTGCTACAAGCTTTATTTGAGTCGAATTTGTGTAGGACAGCATTGTTTCTCTGGAAGGATATCCGTAAAGTTCCTGCGATTTCTTGCTTAACTGTACCCAGAAGCTTGCTGGAACCGGATCTCTGTGGTTTAAGTAGAGTTGAAGGTCGAGATTTTGAGTTCCACCGTCTTCCTTATCTGAAAACAAGTCCGGTGGAACTTGCACACGGAACCCTCCACAATATGATCCGGCTATAAACCAGACCGGCTTTGAAGGCCTAGGAGGACTCACCTCGGTTCTGCATAAAGGGTTTCTATACAGCGATACTGATGTAATAGAAAAGTAGCTTGAAAAGTGGCTTTTAAGCTCTGATGATACTGTGTCCTGAGAAGCAAGAATTCGATTGAAGTATGCTGAGGCAAGGTTCTCGTCGCATCGATTTGGCAATGAACAGATGCTGTACGTGGATGTAACAGTACCTGATACTATAGAAGATGCTATTTGATTGGCAAAGCGAGTAGAAAAGTAGCTGTTCAAGAGTCTAACACTATATATATCTGTCAAAAGATTAGAACTTCCTTTCCCTTTTGACATCAAGCTTATTGTGAACTGATAAAATTTCTGAGGCATTCCATCAATAATTTGGACTATCAGATGAGATACTGCAGACTGCATATCATTGTCAGTAGCTTTGATTGTAAAGTTATAACCACTAGCAGGCTTGTTTGCTATAACAGAATCTGTTACGATTCCATACAGAGTGTTTGTTGCGGTATCAATGTTCACCCATTGGTAGGCCCCATTAATAGGTTTTCCGTTGATTTCTGTTACTGATAAGCGCAGCTTGGCTTGTTCGTTATCATGAAATGTCGATGGTGGGATAGTGTAATTGAAATCAGAGCAACTGTGTACGGTTATTCTAGTCAATGGGGTTTTTACAAACGGCGGAGTGTTGTTCCTGTTACACGCTCCTTGAACAGTCACCTGAGCATTTGTGACGACAACATTGGCACCTAAAGCGTTCCTTAACGTTGGGGTGGACCCAGAGTTATCATAAATTCTTTTTCGGACCAACTTCAGAGCTGCTTCATTACAGGAATCATAGGGTGTTGTGCAGTTTGCGATATTCAATTCCATAGATAGCCCGGAATCAGTGCGTATATGGCTCACTGTTGTCACATGTAAGTCGTTGGGTACACCTCCAAGGTAGGAGGCAATCCTCTCCATTACACTGGCAACGATTACATTATTGTTCTCTGGGCTACTAGCCAGCCAATTGAAGCTTAACCTGATGCTGAAGCTGGCATTCGGGCGACGTTGGCTAATTCTGAATCGAAGTTGGTCGCTTATTGAAAGGCCACGTTTCGTTGTCGCTTTCAACTTGTATGTCAAGATTTTGGGAAGCGTTGTGCTAGATAAGGCATCGTCAGACAGGACAACCCAAATACCTCGACGTACCTTATCAAAGTAAAACCAGTTCTCATTCACAAGCTGGTTGGTTGTGTTCAGGATGCTGAGGGTGAGGTTCCATGTATCTCCATCAATATTGTCTTCAAACGTATTGGCAGGGATTTGAAAGAATTTGTAACCGCAGTATCCAATGTTTATAACTGGCAGTGGATTTTGGACGATTGGAGGTGTTAGATTGTCCTTGCAAACAGGACTCCATGACACGTTTACAGAAGTAATTTCCATGATTGGCAGTAAGGCCGATTTGAAGGTTTGATTGACGGCTCCATTACTTAGTAAGAACGATGAAATTGAATTTTTTTGGTCAGTGTTACATTTATCGCGCAGCATTCCACAACTGCTCCATTTTGCTGCTAGCCTAATGCCAGACGAAACTTGTTGAGACACTTCTATAAACTCAAGCGACGAAACAGTGCTTAAATGAGATAAGTACTTTAATATTTTCACTCTGACATCGTCGTAAAATGATGCAAAAATTCCATTTGCTGGGGGAGTGTTGATGAAATAGCTCATTGAGACGGTGTAGGCTGCTGGCTTAGGCAAATCACCGATGATTATGTAAACAGTTTGATGAACCTGATGCAAGGCCAAGTCTGTAGCAGTGAGAGTGACCGTCAACGCTGTGCCTCTCAGACTTTGCGCAACTTCTCTCGTCAGAACAATTGCCATTTCTTGTTTAGTAGAGTCAAAATTCACCCAGTAATATGGGTTTCTTGTAAGACCAACATCTAAGCTGCGAGAATCACCTTGCTCTTCATCATTGAACGTGTTTGCTGGGAGTTGTGCCTTGAATGTCCCACATGTTGTAACTGTTATTGGTCCAAATGATTTCACCAAAACTGGAGGTTTATCCACTAAGCAAGGTCCAATTTCAGTCTCTGTTAAAAAGAGCTGTTTGAATTCTGGCTGCATAGCTTGGATAAAGTTACTGTTGATAGTCCCTCGTGTAACTTGCAATTGTTCACTGATCTTTCGTATGCCAATAACATCACACGGGCTGTAACGGAGAGAGCAGTTTGTCCATGTAACCGCTAGCGAGTTACCAGATCCTCTGGTCGCACTCACGACTCGGAAATTTCTACGGTTGTCTGAAAGGTATGACTGAATCTTCTTAACGAACTGATAGAGAACAAGGTTGCTATTCTCTAATTGATAGACGGTTTGTATAGAGAAAGTATGACTGTATGCGGGCATAATAGGGTTTATTTTCACTTTTACTGTAGTATTCACAGATGCGTTTGTCGAATCAGTTGCAATCAAGATAAAATTATGTTCTTTCGGATAACTAGCAAAGCTCTGGGTACTAGTCAGAACAGTGACAATCTTCTGGTTAACGGAATCAAATTGTAGCCAATAATCCGCAGGAATGCGGTTTGCATTTGACTGTAGAAGTGTCAGTTTGAGTTTTCGTGTATTTCCATCTTGCTTATCTTGGAAAGTATCATCGGGTATTGTGTAGGAAAAGGGACCACAAAAGTGAACGACAAGTTCTGGAAGTTCTCTAGTCACATTTGGTGCCTCTACCAAGCAGGGACCGCTTAAGGAATCCCTTATGCTTGTCACTTCGAAACCCATACCCAAAACGTAACGCATTGTCGGGCTCATTTGGCTTGTATCTTGTATGAATACTTTCGACTGAATTCTCTTCATAGTTTCCCAATCACAGGCACCTTGAATCGCTTTAGAAAAACTCCATATCAATGTGGAAACAGAACTGCCTGAAGTTGTTTTTGTTGAAATGTAAGATCGGATAAATATTCCCATTTGATTACCAAACACAGCAACTAATCTCTCTAGTAATAATGCTGTTTGATATGCATGTGTTTCATACTGGTTGCGAGTAACAATGATAGTCATAACCACACTGTAGTATCCGGTTGGTGGAGGACCACTTATCTTAAAGTTGATAATTGCACTTGTATTTTTACCGTCACTATCTGTAGCGACAAGTCTGAATTGAAAGTGTAAGCTGGCATTTTGCGAGTAGACAATATCTGTTGGAAATGCAAATATCGTCTGAGCAGTGGCATTTAAAACCACCCAGCTATTTATTGGTAAGCTTTGTCCATCGTAAGTCTTCAGATTAAGACTCAACTTGCGTGTGTTGCCTTCCTCTACATCAATAAACGCGTTGGGAGGAATTTCATATATACTTACAACACCAAAGGGCAACTGTTTAGGTTTTTCAAAAAATTCACTAACAGTTTTATTACTGTAGTTCACATAAGGTGGCTTGCGATTTTCAAGAGAGCAAGCGACTTGATGTTCTTGCCTAACTTCTTCTATTTGGAACTCGGGTTGCATGCTAGCAATCAATTCTCCGTTTGGCTTCTTAGAGTCGGTTTTATTAAGCAATAAACTTCGGATAAAGCTACTGCCTATCACATCACAAACCTCTGAGTTAAGCGAAGTGTTTTGGTAATACAAACTAATTTGGTTGCTCGAATAAAACATTGGCCTAAAAATTATAACATTTTCTTTTGATGGCTGCTTGAAGTAGGTCTTTAGCTTCTGAGTGAAAGTCATCACAACATTTGAAACAGGCAGTAATTGCAAGCTATAGCTAAATTTGATGAAATAAGAGAAGCCATAGTTTGGCTGAGTCCAACTTTGGACCACGGTTATGTTTTCATCAATAAAGTGTCCTTCGACATTGGTAGCACGTAATAAAAAGTTGTAGGTTTGTTTTTGTGGGTCAACGGGAAAACCAGAGATAGTTCTTGTAGAGTTGTTATACCATATCCATGAATTCTGTTGTAGTCTGTTACTGTTGATGTCAAGAAGAGCAATGATCAATTTGTTACCATAAGTAGCATCATAAAATGCATTGTTTGGCACAACGTATATCAACGGACCGTACTTTGGTATCTGAAGCAGTGGTATCTTGAGCACCACGGTCGGCCTGGCACAATCTCCAGTCAGCTGGATTGAGATTGAAGTCGTGGTGAAATTAAGATTTTTTGTTAGACTCTCACGAAGCGTCTCATTTATGCTGCCATCATTTTGCACCAATTTCTTCCTCGCAACCACAATATCGGGAGCTTTGCATGGAGATGTGGCTAAACTTGAAGCTGTCCAAACAATGGAAGTCAACGCCGTCGTCTTGACATCAAGAATCCTGAATGAAGACTGTGTAACTCTCATGTAAGAAGTCATAAAACTTTGAAAAGATTTGATGAATGACATAGCAGAAATAGAAATCATCCTATTTTGCGACATGGATACAGAAAACAAAATAGGCCCTGTAGTTTTCTTTAGATTAACTTGAAAACTTTGAAAGCTTTCTACCAACAATGGCGTTTGAGCCACCAATTTGAAAGACATTGTTGTGAAAGTAGAAGCAACATCTCCGGTTACTAGTCCTTGTAGTACAGGACTCCTGTCGAGATACTGGCTGCTTAAACTCATCCAATAATTTGAGGGGACATCAGTGGCATTTTGAAATCTAAGATGAAGAGTGAGTCTCATATTGCTGCCATTAGGAGATATAAACGAGGCGCTTGGGATGGCAATAGAAAACATTTTCGCCTCTTCAATGTTTAATGTGCCAAACGAAATACCAATGCTAGGCTTACCAGTAGACAGGTAATTGCATGCTGAATCAAACCTTTCTCCAGAAATAGAATTCACAATGAACTGTGGTCTCAGAGCCTCTTTAAATGCCTCCACCGCAGCTGCACCCTCAAATTTTGACCGCAGTTCTTTTATAGTTGTGAGATTGCATGTGGCGTGAGTGGTAAGTTGCCGAATGCTAAACTCATACTTCATCGATATCTCTGAGTTACCTATTCTGGTAACTGTGAATATAGAATTGAAAAAATCATCAGCTTCTATCTTAAGGTAGGTAGACATCTTTGCTTGGAGAAGAAAAAGAATATCCGCATCAGAGAAGCTTGTTGCCATCACCAGTGTTGTTGAGCTTAGAATCTAGAAAAAAATTTTAAATGACTTAAAAACGATTTCTACATGTCAAAATATTATGTTTTCAGAGTGGTCTCATTAAATAAACGCAATCATTTACATCTTCACTTTATCTTGAAGGCTTTGCAAAGACTGAGATTTCGACTAAAGTACTTGAATCATGGATTTTTCCCTCACTAAATTTCCTGCATGCAACATTTCCTAATCTGCAACTTAGATTTACATATTTCCCAATACATCACGAAGCTAATTTTTAAGTGATGCTTGTTGACTGGCCGGCTGATTTTTAACTAACATTAGTTGCATACAGAACAGAATCTTAAATAATGAAAAACTGCCTTATATTAGGGTTGAGAAAATTTATTCTTGCTTAAAATAAATGCTAAAAAAGAAACTTACTATTGTTCTCAGATAGCTTGGCGTAAGTAACGGGCCGCTAAATAGAATGTTGAGTTCTGTGTGGCTTTCGCTGCCACTTGAATCGATGGCACTCAACCTGTATTCGTACCCAGTCTTTGGCTGATTAGCAAATATGGCATAAGTCGAGAAAGCTGTCACCGTTCTTGAATGCAGACTGACCCACGTGGACTTCGGCAGCTCAGCACCATTTGCACTGTACAAGAAAAGCCTCATGTTGTTGAGGTCACCATCTTCCTTATCAACAAATGTATTTGCTGGTATAGTAAACTGGATTCGAAATGTTGTATTGGAGATCTCCATATTCACAGGACCTTGAACTTTTGGGCCCTGGGGACCAGAAGGCGTTGTTGTGCTGAAACACAAATATTTAATTTTTACAGCTTTCAAATACCAAAAAAGAGTCATTGTTAGTTTGAATAGAACACGAGTACGCTTAAAAAGTTCCAAAAGCAGAGGTGTAAATCTACATCAGAAATGAAATTGCCAAGGCTGGGCATTCTTTTCTGGAGGTTGTATTAGGTGTTAACTGAGGATTGAAGAAAAGCTTGTTTCTTGATTTTTAACAACAGCACATGAAAGTGTTTATTATAGGGTAAATGTACAATTTTGGAAGTATTATCATATGGTTCTCTGGCATCAGTAGTCCTACTAACTGGAATCTTTCAAGAGCCAGCCGGCTATTAGATCCTACTGCATGCAGGTTAGCATGATTGAAAATATTTTGATTGGAAAATTTAATGTAGGAACACTTCTAATGGATGATGTTTAACTTTATTTAAAAGCAATAGAAGAGCTGTTATTTCAAAGTAATGATGGCGAATATCACACATGATATTATATATGGACGAGTCAATCGTATCAGTCATGGTTAAATGATATCACTGTGGGTCTAAGATAACTTAAAATTTACTGTCAATGTATGTCAATACCAAACATAATATTATGAATCATTCAGCCATCGTTGTATACCATCACTGAAAGTCAAATACCACACAAACTAGACTGTCGCTATAGGTCAAATGCAAACAAAATATTATACATGGATGAATCATTCAGCCATTGTTGTATACCATCACTGAAAGTCAAATACCACATAAACTAGACTGTCGCTATAGGTCAAATGCAAACAAAATATTATACATGGATGAATCATTCAGCCATTGTTACAAACTGTCACTGTCATGGCTTATTCCCTTTACTAGTTTGAAATATTTATAGACGGTTCTGTTTTGTTATTAGTAAGCAAAAATACACCTTAGCCGTAGAACCTAAATGTATTAAATTTAGCCTATTGATGGGTTTGCTAGACAATTCAGCACAAGGGTAGCATATTGAAGTCTCTTTACATGTGACTGTATTCATTGGCAAGATGTTTCAGTTTTCAATTGACAAGGGCGTCGTTTTTTGACCGGTGACAGCGCTTTATCTGGCGACCGGTGACAGCGCTTCATTTTGAAAACAAAAATGGTCAGAGCTTCGTCTGCCAAGAAATATTCTTGTAAACAATTGGGTACTATACATTAGCAGCAAGTGACAGGTGCTGAAATATTATAGTTGCGATCAAATTCCAACATAATCAGACGTTTACCGATCTCTCAAAGTGAAATTTGAATCAGACTCCACGAACAGTTGTTTAGCTCCTTTCTTAAAACTCTTTTCAGCAGCATGGTTCCGTTTTCCTGCTCTTCCCCCCCCCCTTCGTATCTCCTCTTGCCCATCCATGCAGCTTAGCATCTTAGCCTTCGCGTAGCAGGTTAGCAAGTTAGCAGGTTAGTAATTTTTTAGTTGGGTTTTAAAGGGACATGATGTATGTCCTGCTATGTCAGCAGACACATAGGACCTGGGGGCATTTGGAGCACGTGTCCCCACTTATTAGAAATATTGAAAAAGTGCCCTTAGCTTAAAGAAGAACTATGTGCCCTAGAAAAGTCACAGAGAGCGCCCCTATTTTAATTTGCCATAAAACAAAAAAAGTCTTCTAACATTCTATATTATCCTGCGGGACCCCCCACCCCCCTCTGTATCTTTTTGCAATGGATTTGGTACTTTTTGGATTTGCACTTACAATAAAGGGTGTGCTTGAAGTGCCTTTTAACTCCTGTGCCCCCGCTTTCCAAACGCTTCTTACGTCTCTATATGCTGGTGAACGTCTCTAACACAATATTCATGGCAAAAGGCAGTAGCGAGTCTAGCCTCAAAAACCGGGGTGGGGCTAGCCGTGTGCCAGCGAACTAGTAGTAAAGCAATGGTGTAGTGGCTCAAAATTAGCTCAAAATTACCAATTTCTGTGCCCCCTGGAAAAGTATGGCGTTGGTTACCCTGGGTGCCAGAGCCTCAGAGAGTCAAAGGATGAAGAACGGGGGAAAGGAAATGCGAAGGAGAATGGAAGAGGAAAGGGGAGAGACGTCTCTCCCTTTTTACTATTCCATTCTCCTTCGCAATTCCTTCCCCCGTTCTTCATCCTTTGACTCTCTGAGGCTCTGGCACCCAGGGTAGGCGTTGGTACAACTTTATCAGGGCTGATGAAACTTCAATGTTAGGCTTTGTTATCAAAGGCTTTGTTAAGGTCATTTCTGGAGGAGGCAAACAAGGAGCCAAGAAAATTTCTGGGGGGCATGCCACTGGCTAGAGACTTTTGTCTCTGAAACGCGAATGATTTTGAGTTTGACCTCTCCGTACACGAAGAATTTTTGTGTCGCACTGCCTAATGTTATTCCTTCTAGAGGATATCTGTAAATGTAAAGAGAAATTGACAGAAAGATGACTACTCCTTTCTCATGATTGAAGAAAATGTCACTTGCAGTCCTTGCTCTTTAATTTGGTTGCGCAAAAAGACTTCGCTGAAGTAACAGATAGATTTTTGTGAAGCTTAAAACCCAAAAAATGATGTTTCCAGCAACCTTGTGAAAGATTGGTAGTGGGCTACACAGATATGCATCAAGGCACTCCTGACTGGAAAAAGCATATTCAATGAAGTTCTAAGCCATTACGAAATATCAATCAAAGTAACAGATACACGCCAAATTCCTAAATTATATTTTGCAGCAAGATTTTATCAGGGTTCTCTCGAATCATCTGTCTTTGATTTGACATGTGATTGATTTAGAAATAGCCGATTGGCTAGTTGTGTTGATTAATCAAATTTTGTGTCATGAGTTTGTTGCACGCAGACGAGAGCTTTCTGATTTTGTGTTTTAAACAAGCTTTTGAAGTTAAACAATCTTAATCTCTAGGTCAGATTTGAAACGCAAGAAGTTTCTGTTTACATAAGAAACTCTGTAGAAAATTGCTCATTTTTAGTCGGTATCGCCTTGGATACCAGAGCCACGTAAGTTTGAGCGCAGAAATAGAAAATAGGAGCGGAGAAGCAGAGAAGCAGAGAAGCGGAGAAGCGGAGGAACATCTAGCTGAGATGAAGAAAAACCTCTCTTTTATTTTCCGAAATCAATAATTGTAGCCCTGGTACCTAGGGTTAGTGTTTTTAAAGCTCTAGCAGCAAATATCACAAAAAATATATTTGCTCAACGGTAGGTGCAACTTTTGTCCAGATATACAGACGGATGTTATGGTCGTAGATCGTAGCTGATTCAAGTCTCTAAGGTCATCAGACGGGTGGCAGTGGTATGTTGATGTTGCTAAGGCTAAATCTAGAATGACTTTACAAAATGACCAGACAATGACTAGATAACAGAAACTAACAACTTAACAAGGATATCAGCTCAAATCATAACAAATATTACCGGTTTATAAAAACGTTCATTAAAGTAAAATAACCATCAATTTTAGTAGCAGTGTGTTTTAACTGCTAACGGGGAAAAGTGGATGCTTAATGGAAATACAGTAGAAGATGGGTGGATTTGTTTGTTATACTTGTATTAGGTCTTTGCTAAAAAGTGGGCGGATCATCAGTAAGGAAAAAGGCTTAAAGGCTAGAATTATTGGGGGTTCCTTTGCATGAGAAAAATTGGAACAACAGCACGAGACCCCCCTCCCCCCTCCGAGGAATAAAAGTAGTCATGTCCCTGTTTTTGTATGCACATCATAAATACAGAATCGAATGGCAGTGACGTTGTGTTATGACTGAATTATCTAGGAAACATACAACATACGGCTGCCTCATTTACGACTAGAAAGCCGAGACGCACAGCCAAAATAAGGCAGTAATTCTTATCGTTTTTCAAAGGGAAGGTGCCCTATATAAAAGCAAGAAATAGTTGTAGAGACGATCCAATAAAAGACTGAAAAGATACTGCACTGCAGGCCTATGCAAAGTTAACGGCACTGTCAATCATTAGATAAAGTGTCTTTTGTAATGTTTGTTAGTTAAGTTCCGTTTATGCTTAATATCTTTAAGGCCGTTTAAGGCCAGTGCACACTGGAGAGATTTGTGTTTCAAACAGGAACATGTCAGTGTTTTGTAAAAAAAAGTTGGCTAGAGACTTTTGTCTCTGAAACGCGAATGATTTTGAGTTTGACCTCTCCGCACACGAAGGATTTTTGTGTCGCACTGCCTAATGTTATTCCTTCTAGAGGATATCTGTAAATGTAGAAACAAATTGACAGAAAGATGACTACCCCTTTTTCATGACTGAAGTAAATGTCGCTTGCAGTCCTTGCTCTTTAATTTGGTTGCGCAAAAAGACGTCGCTGAAGTAACAGATGGGTTTTTGTGAAGCTTAAAAACCAAAAAAATGATGTTTCCAGCAACCTTGTGAAAGATTGGTAGTGGCCTCCACAGATATGCATCTCGGCACTCCTGACTGGAAAAAGCATATTCAATGAAGCTCTAAGCCATTGAGATATATCAATCAAATGAACAGATACATGCCAAACTCCTAAATTATACTTTGCAGCAAGATTTTATCAGGGTTCTCTCGAATCATCTGTCTTTGATTTGACATGTGATTGATTTAGAAATAGCCGATTGGCTAGTTGTGTTGATTAATCAAATTTTGTGTCATGAGTTTGTTGCACGCAAACGAGAGCTTTCTGATTTTGTGTTTTAAACAAGCTTTTGAAGTTAAACAACCTTAAGTCAGATTTGAAACACAAGAAGTTCCTGTTTACTTAAGAAACTCTGTAGAAAGTTGTCCATTTTTAGTCGTTATCACCCTGGATACCAGAGCCACGTAAGTTTGAGCGCAGAAATAGAAAATAGGAGCGGAGAAGCAGAGAAGCGGAGAAGCGGAGGAACATCTAGCTGAGATGAAGAAAAACCTCTCTTTTATTTTCCGAAATCAATAATTGTAGCCCTGGTACCTAGGGTTAGTGTTTTTAAAGCTCTAGCAGCAAATATCACAAAAAATATATTTGCTCAACGGTAGGTGCAACTTTTGTCCAGATATACAGACGGATGTTATGGTCGTAGATCGTAGCTGATTCAAGTCTCTAAGGTCATCAGACGGGTGGCAGTGGTATGTTGATGTTGCTAAGGCTAAATCTAGAATGACTTTACAAAATGACCAGACAATGACTAGATAACAGAAACTAACAACTTAACAAGGATATCAGCTCAAATCATAACAAATATTACCGGTTTATAAAAACGTTCATTAAAGTAAAATAACCATCAATTTTAGTAGCAGTGTGTTTTAACTGCTAACGGGGAAAAGTGGATGCTTAATGGAAATACAGTAGAAGATGGGTGGATTTGTTTGTTATACTTGTATTAGGTCTTTGCTAAAAAGTGGGCGGATCATCAGTAAGGAAAAAGGCTTAAAGGCTAGAATTATTGGGGGTTCCTTTGCATGAGAAAAATTGGAACAACAGCACGAGACCCCCCTCCCCCCTCCGAGGAATAAAAGTAGTCATGTCCCTGTTTTTGTATGCACATCATAAATACAGAATCGAATGGCAGTGACGTTGTGTTATGACTGAATTATCTAGGAAACATACAACATACGGCTGCCTCATTTACGACTAGAAAGCCGAGACGCACAGCCAAAATAAGGCAGTAATTCTTATCGTTTTTCAAAGGGAAGGTGCCCTATATAAAAGCAAGAAATAGTTGTAGAGACGATCCAATAAAAGACTGAAAAGATACTGCACTGCAGGCCTATGCAAAGTTAACGGCACTGTCAATCATTAGATAAAGTGTCTTTTGTAATGTTTGTTAGTTAAGTTCCGTTTATGCTTAATATCTTTAAGGCCGTTTAAGGCCAGTGCACACTGGAGAGATTTGTGTTTCAAACAGGAACATGTCAGTGTTTTGTAAAAAAAAGTTGGCTAGAGACTTTTGTCTCTGAAACGCGAATGATTTTGAGTTTGACCTCTCCGCACACGAAGGATTTTTGTGTCGCACTGCCTAATGTTATTCCTTCTAGAGGATATCTGTAAATGTAGAAACAAATTGACAGAAAGATGACTACCCCTTTTTCATGACTGAAGTAAATGTCGCTTGCAGTCCTTGCTCTTTAATTTGGTTGCGCAAAAAGACGTCGCTGAAGTAACAGATGGGTTTTTGTGAAGCTTAAAAACCAAAAAAATGATGTTTCCAGCAACCTTGTGAAAGATTGGTAGTGGCCTACACAGATATGCATCTCGGCACTCCTGACTGGAAAAAGCATATTCAATGAAGCTCTAAGCCATTGAGATATATCAATCAAATGAACAGATACATGCCAAACTCCTAAATTATACTTTGCAGCAAGATTTTATCAGGGTTCTCTCGAATCATCTGTCTTTGATTTGACATGTGATTGATTTAGAAATAGCCGATTGGCTAGTTGTGTTGATTAATCAAATTTTGTGTCATGAGTTTGTTGCACGCAAACGAGAGCTTTCTGATTTTGTGTTTTAAACAAGCTTTTGAAGTTAAACAACCTTAAGTCAGATTTGAAACACAAGAAGTTCCTGTTTACTTAAGAAACTCTGTAGAAAGTTGTCCATTTTTAGTCGTTATCACCCTGGATACCAGAGCCACGTAAGTTTGAGCGCAGAAATAGAAAATAGGATTGGAGGAGCGGAGAAGCAGAGGAGCGGAGAAACGGAGAAGCAGAGAAGCGGAGAAACGGAGAAGCAGAGGAACATCTAGCTGAGATGAAGGAAAATCTCTCTTTAATTTTCCGAAATCAATAATTGTAGCCCTAGTACCCAGGGTAAGTGTTTTTAGAGCTCTAGCAGCAAATATCACAAAAAATAAATTTGCTCAACGGTAGGTGCAACTTTTGTTCAGATATATACAGACGGATGTTATGGTCGTAGATCGTAGCTGATTCAGGTCTCTAAGGTCATCAGACGGGTGGCAGTGGTATGTTGATGTTGCTAAGGCTAAATCTAGAATGGTTCTATATAATGACCAGACAATGACTAGATAACAGAAACTAACATCTTAACAAGGCTATCAGCTCAAATCATAACAAATATTACCCGTTTATAAAAACATTCATTAAAGTAAAATAACCATAAATTTTAGTAGCAGTGTGTTTTAACTGCTAACGTTGAAAAGAGGATGCTTAATGGAAATGCAGTAGAAGATGGGTGGATTTGTTTGTTATACTGTATGAGGTGTTTGCTAAAAAGTGGGCGGGATCATCAGTAAGGAAAAAGGCTTAAAGGCTAGAATTATTGGGGGTTCCTTTGCATGAGAAAAATTGGAACAACAGCACGAGGCCCCCCCCCCCGACGAAGAATAAAAGTAGTCACGTCCCTGTTTTTGCATGCACATCATAGTTACAGAATCGAATGGCAATGACGTTGTGTTATGACTGAATTATCTAGGAAACATACAACATACGGCTGCATCTATTTACGACTGGAAAACCGAGACGCACAGCCAAAATAAGGCAGTAATTCTTATCGTTTTTCAAAAGGAAGGTGCCCTATATGAAAGCAAGAAATAGTTGTAGAGACGATCCAATAAAAGACTGAAAAGATGCTGCACTGCAGGCCTATGCATAGTTAACAGAAATATACCAGAAAAAGAGAAAGAGGAGGCTAGTTGATCGTATTAAGTGTGAAAGTAGGTGGTTAATAAAAATTTTTACACCAAAGGGCGGTTAATAAAAATATAAGTAGCTATATAAATAAAATTATAATACAAAAAAATTACCTTGGAGCTTGGGTTGTCGTTGTTTTTACAGTGTTTTCTTTAATCAGAACAAACCATCTTCTTACAGGCTGCCCTAGACTTTGGGAAAGAGAGCCACTTGTAGCATCATTTCGCAACTTTGTGACACGACTGTCAGAGGGTGTAATTTGCCCGCATGATATTACATACGTTACAATGGTGCTGTTCTCGATAGTTAATTCATTATCTCCCATACCAAAGGCGACAAGCTTTGCTGGGTAGAATGCAAATGTAGATCCAACGTGTTCCTTAGTGCTAACACCACCTGACTCAAGTCCTGCGTATGTAGCCGTGTTTTGTGCAAGGGTAGAAAGCGACTCTGGTGTTACGGTTGTATACGCCACATTGAAGTCAATCACGACAACAGATCTGTGTGAATGGCCTGTGCATTCTTCAGTTTCAGTAGTAGAGCGCCGTTCTCGCAAGCTAGAGGTGCCTGCATTTCTAAAAGTATAACACTTGCAGATTATTGATCTGGTCCAAATAGCTATGATTCCTTGGAAAGGAGTTTTGATGTTGACAGAATCATGGGTTTCAAAACCAGCTCTAACAAGAAATCGTCTAAACGAAGCTCTTTCACCATTCAAGTTGCGTTTGAAGAGAAGAAAAAGATCTTTACTTCCTCTTCTGCGTAGAAGGAAAAATGAGAGAAACGATTTTTTCGGCTCGATAGCCACTCTCCTTGCTTCGTACAAATACCAAGGCAACTGTAATACTTTAAGTTTCAAGAAAGAAATATTGCTAACGTTGCCACATTTGAACTTGAATAGAGATTGATCTGCTTTTTGTGTCATGGTTTGAAGTAAGCCAGCAAGACTGCAATCACGATATTTCAAACTGCTCTGTGGATATTGCAATTGTATCTGTTTCCCTTGCAAATGGAAAACTGTCAGCATGAAGACAACAGCAAGGTGCAGATAGATCGTTTTATGCTTTTGAAGTAGGCAGAACATCGTTACTTCCTCTGCTTTTGCTAGCAGCATCACATATGCAACAATTATCGTATGCAATGCTGTAATGCTCTTGCACCACCCGAAACATCTGAAGGAAGCTTGAATTCAACGCCTCTTATATGAAGCTTGAGTAGGCCATTAAATTTTCATTCAGCAGAAAAACCACGATCAATCATAGCCACGATCAATCATTTACACGGGATGACAGATAAATTAACCACGAATCGAGCAATTTCAGTCAATCGTTTTAGGAACACTGAATAATGTGTCATAGCAGTCACCTGCAAAGCATGATCACCAGAAGAAGCAGAACTTATTTTAAGGAAAATTTCCAGCTCCACAAGTTATCGTTATATTTTTTAGCGTTTTTCACCCTTCAAGGTTGGTATCAGAGCAAATACGAACCAATCAACCCAATATTTTCATCAATTTGTTAGATGTGTTGGGAGGGCCACGGAAAGTTCGGTAGGTTCCGGGGCAAAGCTTAAAGCGGAGAAATTTTTGCGACCATATCCTTCAGATTAGCTTAAAATACATTTAACAATATTTCTTGCAGTCATTTTCTCACAATAGTTCAAAATGTTCTACTATTTTGAGGCATATTGCTGCGTTTGATAAGTTTCATTCTTTAAATGGAATTCATAATTTAATGTTGCGCCCTAGACCTCAAGGTCCTGGGCCAATTGCCTCCCCTGCCCCCTCCCCCTCTCGGCGGCTCTGGGTGTTGGCTCCACATTCGCAAACGAGACCTTTATGTCCTACACTTCAATTGAATAACAAAACTACGGCTTGCAGTTTCCATCATCAGTGTAGTCAAACTATTTCATTCGTTCCAAATGTGATGAGAAAAATAATTAAAGAACAAGGTGATTTTTTATTATCGTATTTTAGTGTTCCAGGTCCACAGAATCTCATATCCAGCTCACCTCTTGCATTCCGGCTCAAATAAAGGGCCCAAATCCCGTTTGAATAAGCTCTGAGAAGATGGCAACCCAATGAACAATATTATTGTAAAACACTTAATAAACCAGGGTGAAAAATTATGGAATGTTCTTCTAAAAATTGTAATTTTAGTTGGCTAAGCTAGAAAAATTTACCAAGTAGATCGCAGCAGCTCCACTGGCAGTCTTTTCTTTTCAACATCTGTTCCTTTGTTCAAATCTAGACTAGGCTTAGAACAATTATTAAGATAAGCTATTCTCTGACAAAACTTTTTTGTTGTTTATGACAATAGAATAATTTAATTGAAACCGAGCGTACGGTGTAAAATGCAATCATTATTACTATTCTTATCGTTATTATAAAGATAGTAGTAGTTAGACCTTTTCTTCACATCAAAACGAGGCTTGCTAGCTGTAAACGAGTCAAATCAAACAGTTGCAGGATGGGGGATAAAAGTTTCGTAACTTCAAGATGTGTTACTTTATGAAAGTTTCATAACAGTCATTACGGGAAGACAGTATGAAACGAAATATGGCATTAAGATTGACAAAACAAACGCTAACAGGCCTGAACTTCGGGTTTAAAAAATCAGCAAGAAAAGGTTTTCTTAGAAGAGAGCCAGACATTTTCTGGCAATGCTTGTTGCAACAACACAGCAAAGGTCTCTCTTCCAGGTTTGTGCCGTTGTCTGGTGTTGTCGATGCTACTGAAGAGGACCTATGCAATCTTGAAAATTTCGTCTCTAATGCAAAAAGACTTTTTGTCTTGACTGGAGCTGGTGTCTCGACTGAATCGGGAATTCGAGATTACCGTTCCGAAGGAATCGGCTTGTATGAAATCAGTAATCACCGACCAATTCTTCATGACGATTTTTTAAAGAAACCAGGCAGGAGGCACCGTTACTGGGCTAGAAACTTTGCCGGCTGGCCTGTATTCTGGAGCAAAATCCCAAATAAAAATCATATTTGCTTGGCAGAGATGGAAGAAAGAGAAAAAATACACTGGCTAGTAACGCAAAATGTCGACGGTTTGCACACAAAGGCTGGAAGCAAAAGAGTCACCGAGCTGCATGGAACATCTTCACTGTAAGATGCAAGAAAATCATTTCCTGATTCAGAAATTTATAATTTTTTAATTCTTTTGTTCAAAATTTTTACTGCTTGGTTTTGTTTGGCCCCTAGCGCCAGGGTGAAGTTTTTTATGTGCCAAAAATATTTTGTTGTTATCTTGAGCCAAGTGCATGTTCAGCTAAAAGTATTAAGTTAACTATAGGTTCATAGACCTATTACTGCAAAAATAAAAAATGATGCTATTCTGACTTACTTTTTTCCTGTACCTGCAAAATTTCAGTTCTGTGCTAATTTTTTGACATGTTGATGAACTGCACAAGAGATATTCTTAAGAAAAGCCAGATTCTCCCTGGTAGTCTAGTTTCCTGCTCTGGCAGAACTGACTTTGCTGTGCTTTGCAAAGTATTTACCACGTATGCTGGAATAGAAAACTGAACACTTAAGATATATAATCTGTAGCGTTTGCCGCATTAGCATTTGCAGAATTAGCATTTGCAGCAGCATTAGCATTTGAAGATATGTAGTCTCTACCAAAGTTTTAAAAAGGCATCTCCAGGTCTTGAACTGGAAAATCCTTTCAAAAGGCATATTTAAACCAAAGTCTCATCTTTCAAATTGATAATGAACTTAAATACAAGCCTCATAAAATTTAGAAATCTAAAATAAAACAGTCTTCACATTCAGGATACAACACAGGTACATGCCCAATTTTCACAGGATATTCATGTCTGTGAATAGAAAATGGAAGCCTAAATTAGTTTCAATGGAGGAAAAAAACTTCCAAACTCGTGATTTATTAATTTTTATTTTACATTTTAAAACTTTATATAATTGTCTCTAGGATTGAATATATATACTTTTCAGGGTTCATTGTTTGAGCTGCAAAAGAGAAATTTCACGGCATGAACTGCAAGAGAAACTCTACAAATTAAATGCAGGCTGGGAAGGAGTTAGGCATGGACAGGATGCTCCAGATGGTGACATTGTTGTGGATGACAACCTTATTGGGTCATTCAAAATGCTCAACTGTGAAGTATGCAACGGAATTCTAAAACCAAAAATTGTATTTTTTGGAGACAATGTGCCACCTGAAGTGAAAAATTTTGTTAATAAAAAACTTGATGAATCTGATGCATTACTAATAATTGGGTCATCTACAGAGACATACTCTAGTTACAGGCTGGCACTGGCAGCTAAGCAAAAAGAAATGCCAATTGCTATTTTGAATATTGGAAAAACTAGAAGTGACCATTTAGCAGATTTAAAAATTTCAGCCATATCTGGTGAAGTGCTCCCTTTATTGAATTATAACTAATTTAGACACATGATAATGTAATTAAGAAATGTTTGAGTAAAATAATGTTTCAAAACATGAAACAGCCTATTTAATCTTTTTACTTGCCCTATTTAATCTAATTTCTGCTTACTACTTACCACTTAGTTCAGTATTTCCTAGCTGCTCTCTTACGAGACTAGTAGTTATTGACAATGTTAATTGTTTATTTTGTCTCAAATGTTATGGCTAATTATTCAATAATACAAAGCACTTTCCTTTCAATTGGTTTTTGAACAACTCAAAGATAATATGCAAAGAGTGCTTTATTTACCAATGAAATTTAAATCATTTTTACTTTCCAGAGTTAATATGTAAAATGACAGAAGCTTGAAATAATTCATTTGTCATCATTTATGTATCCTCTCTAGGCTATGTTTATAAATGAAGTGTATTTTAGATTTTGTAATTAGGTTTTAAAATTTAAGTTTTTCTTGTAAAAAGAAAAGAAACACCTAAGACAGGGGTGGGCTGGGCAACCTACCCCAGCAAGCCATATTCTGCCTGATGAGAGAATATTTGTAGCCTACAAGATGATCAAATAAAATCATGATTTTTCATCATCTATTGTGATGAATTCAGACAGGACAGCAGAATCTTTGGAGGATAGGGCGAAGGTTACAAATGCAGCAGGGACAACTTTTTTAAGGTGCACTGCATATTAGCATCATCGTCATCATCATCATCATCATCATCGTCATCATTAGTGCACAGGAATACTGTTAGTTTTCAGTGACTTCCTCCACAAGTATCTGTCCATTGGATCAATGCGTATCACACTAGCAGTAGATCACAAAATTTTAGAAAACAGTAGGGACCCCATCTGTCATGATTTTGTTATGTCTAAGTTGCTAGTTCCCCAGGCCCATATTAGATAAACTAGTTTTTACATATATTAAAGTGGATGGCCTAAGCTAAAGCGCTGATGCTAGATGCTACTTTGTTATTTCCTTCCTATGATAATTTCTTCAAACCCTGAATTCCACCTTTTAATCTTGGTTGTCTTTTCAGTTTTCAAATTGCACAATACAATTGTAATGGCCTTGTCTTTGTAAATCCAGGCTAGCCAGTACCAAACTACATATGTAATAGAGTGGTTTGTAACTGCCGTGTAATTAAATTGAAATAAAAAATGTATTATTATTATTATTATCAGAGTATCATATTCGTTTTTCTTGAAACCTTAGGCTCACTCTCAAAAAAGGTTGCCCACCCTTGTCCTAAGAAAAAGGCTCAAGGGGAATATTGCACTGGTGGCTAAAACACTTCTGAGGAAACCACAGTTTAAAACAAACTGGTTTCAGATCACAAAATCAGCCAATAAAGAATCAGCAGTGTGGCAATATCAACTCCATATCTTAGGCAATTCTCAGTATCAACGGATGAATCTAACACAAACTATCTGCTGGGTTTTAGATAATTTATTGATGATTAAGAAACAAAATTAAAATGCACATCACAGTGCATTTTCAAAAAATCAAACTTGAACCAATTTTAATAATAAATTCCAAAACAGAAATTAGGACTTTGTGATCTAATCTACTCCAGAAGGACAGGTTCACAATTTTAGAAGCAATAAAAAGACATACATCAACTGTTCACAACAAAAGCCTTACAAATGCAAGTTGGTCAATTTGAAACTAAACTACTAACAGTTATAATAAAAACATGAATTTTACAAGTCTTCAACAAGTTTGTCACATTTCTCAATGAAAACTCTTGGATGCTTTGCACACTGTTTCAATAGCTGGAGTGACACAATAGTCAGCTCAGTGCAACCCAAGACATTAACTTGAGTCAAATTGTCTCGGCAGATTGAAGACTCATTGGTTAATGCATCAATGCCAGCATCTGTAAGTTTTGTACAGTAGCTCAAGTCAAGCTTTTCAAGGGATGGCAAGAATCGTGAAACACTCTTCAAGCTTTCATCTGTAATGTCACAGCATGATAATTTAAGTTCCTTTAAGCTACTTAGACGACCTTTGTTATTTTTAGACACAACAGCATCCCTGGCTGGTGATAGCAGTTCTCTTATTAAATGGTCTTTTACACCCTCACAATATGATATGTCTAAAGCTTCAAGAAGTGGGCATGTGCCTGACACCATTGCAGAAATGGCTGCACTGCTGTTACCTTCAAGGCTTAGGGTCTGGAGTCTTGGTAAACGAGATAATAACCACTTCATTTGACTAAAGGTAATACTGCAGTGTGCCAAGTTAAGACTAAGTGGTTGTCTCCGTACTATACCACACAGTGCAAGAGAATCAAGTTTTCTACTAGAATAGGTAATGTGGTTCCAGAACTTGCCATCTAGTCCCCATCTGTTCCAGTTGCGACAGACACGCATACAAATAGAAATGTCTGACTGTGATAAGAAGCCAAAAATTTTAAGCCATAAGCTTCTTGAAAGAGGATGAAGTTGGCCATCTTGTAACAGCAATTCTTCTGCTGGAGGGCTCAAAGGCCTTGGTCTGACAACAAAGTGTGGGTTGATGGGGTTGATAAGTACATGTACGGGCTTCACTTTTGGTTTCACGATCTTTTTCGGCTGCTGAATGGTGCTATCATCCTCTTCCATTGCTTGAATGCTTTCTTGGTCACTTTCTGACTCATTTTCGCTATCACTCTCTACAGAAGTCTGAATTGAAGCAAAAAAGTTTATTTTTCGTTGAGCCAAGCAATCATTTTTGCACAGGTAAAAAGAAAATCTCTCTTTCAGCTAAGTTCGGGTCACTAATATCTGCGAAAGGAAGAAATTTTAAAAACATAAGGTGTAAGACCATGTGAAATTGTATTTTTTCAAACTCAATACACTCCATCTACTTCTAGGATTGAATAATGTTTGAATAAAACAAACAAATTTCCGAACAAAACTTTTACATAAAATTTAACTAATCTTATGTGGGTCATATTCTTTGCTCAATCATCAAGGGAAATATTTCAAAAATGATTGTAAAAGGTACTTCTGGTGAAAAGATTTCTCGGTAATTTCAATGAAAAAGAAATAAAAAAACAAAATACTTTTCAGTTCTAAACAATAAAATTTGTAACTCTGTACCTTTTTACTGTCTTTGGTCAGGTCACTGGTGACCTACAAAAGATGAGTTAGTAAGTGTATTTGTTCAGAAAAACAAAAATCTGAGAAGACAAATTTTTCAAATACTATAGGCAACATTTAAACTTCCAATAGAGGGTGAATACATCAGCATTAAGAAAAAAATCATTCAACTGGATATTTGAAGCAACTTGAAGCAGTACAAAACAAAATTGGCATTTGTGTGCATTAAGAGATGATGTACATTCATCCAAAACATCAGAATGAGACAAAATTGAATAAAGTTAGTGTTTCAAATGATACTTACACTTGACCTTTTTCGCTTTTTAGTTGCATCCTCCTAAAATCAAATTCAAATGGTGAACAAAGAGCATTTAGTAAAAGCAATAAATAACAGCACAGAAGAAAGCTTTTTATTTTATACTTTGCAGAGTAAAGCAGAAAAACTTGGATTCCCTAAATCAGGGAAATGCTGGCTTGTATATAACTTTTAAATGGTCTTCATGGGTAACTAAAGGTCATAAAGGATTAAGCCACACTAACTGAATTGGACAAAGCCTAACAACTGTTTAGGTATCTGAAGATGGGTTAGCTACTAACAAACATGCTAAAAAGTAGTCAGACATTCAATATATTGAATAACAGATAAAACCATATGATTTTGTTTAAAAATGTCTCAAAAGGCTGTTAACACCAAAATGAGTAAGGCAGGTGAGGGGATCTGAGTTTGATTTTAACATCTGTACTGTAAATCCAAACAATTTCCACCCAAGACTATTGTCCAACTAGGACCAAAACTGCCATTTGAAATAACAGCCAAAATCCCTTTAGGAAGATTCAAGAACACTCTAATTCAAGAACTGGGTTCAAGAACTAATTCAAGATTCTAATTCTAATTCAAGATCTAATTCCGAAATTTTTAATGTCTGAAATTTTTTGCAACATGGAAAAATGTAGCAAGACATTTTCTTTGTTTAACTGTGTATTGTTTGTGTTTAAGGAACTGCTTTATAACAAACCTACTAGTAGAACTTATGGGAAATTCAAATAGATTCTTTAGATAGAAAATGACAAACCTACTAGTAGAATAAAGATCGTAGATAATTTAACTAAAATATCGGATGATCAAAAAGCTCTTTTAATATTATATTTCTTCAAAGTAAAGTCAACAGAACGAGTTAAAGATGTGATGTGAGAAAACAATTGTGCGTTTGCTTTGTGCCGAGAAACCTATTGGCCCACTTTCAGCCATTAGATCTGAACGTAAATGGCCATGCAAAGCAGTTTTAATACGAAAATTTAAAAATTGGTATGCTGAGCAGGTGACAGAGGAAATCGAAAAGGGAATAAATGTGTTCTCAGAGAACATCGAGAGGAAGCCGTCCATCGTTAAGCCTTTGCATGCACATTGGTTGATCAGCTTTTATAATCACATGCAAAACAACCAACAAATGATCATTAAGGCCTTTGAAATGGCAGGCATAATTCCCATTGCCACAATTGAAGTTCCTGGTGAGGACCAATTGAAACAGTTATAAGCAGTAATGAACCATTTAAACGAAATTGAAAGAGTTAACCTTAAGATATATTTTTAAAGCATTAAAAATAACTGAATACATGGTTTTTTGTATTCGTCCGAAATTTCTCTGGAAACGTCAGAAATAACTTTTAAAAACGCCGAAAATATTTTGTCCAAAAGTTTCATCTCCCAAATTGTTTGCCTTTAATGTACCTTTAATTCTGTAGAGCCCACTGAGGCAGCCAGTTTTCTCTTCAATGGGTCCATCTTTCCTCTGACCAGGTTTGCATCAAAGTCACCAGCCTGCATGCATAAGAAAAAATTATGCAACATTAATTCAAAGGCATCATCGATGATATGAGACTGGGAAGGTAAACTATCTTTATTAGATGCATGCTATGAATTAGCATAACAAAAATTTAACTGGCTTTCAAATTTTTGGACTTAAAAGGCCAGAGGGTACACCATAAATAATGTGGTCTTACGACCTAAGCAGACCTTCAAACGCTAATAAAGATAGCAAGACCTTCCGTGTTCATCTCAGCAAGTCAGTCAGTCAGACAGCCAGTCAGTCAGTCAGTCAGTCAGCCAGTCAGTCAGTCAGCCAGTCAGTCAGTCAGCCAGTCAGTCAGTCAGTCAGTCAGTCAGTCAGTCAGTCAGCCAGTCAGTCAGTCAGCCAGTCAGCCAGTCAGCCAGTCAGTCAGTCAGTCAGTCAGTCAGTCAGTCAGTCAGTCAGTCAGTCAGTCAGTCAGTCAGTCAGTCAGCCAGTCAGTCAGCCAGTCAGTCAGTCAGTCAGTCAGTCAGTCAGCCAGCAGCCAGTCAGTCAGTCAGTCAGTCAGTCAGTCAGTCAGTCAGTCAGTCAGCCAGCCAGCCAGTCAGTCAGTCAGTCAGTCAGTCAGTCAGTCAGTCAGTCAGTCGGTTAAGCAGTCAGTTAGTTGGTTAGTCAGTCAATTTTGAAGATTACTGTTATATAATCTGTTGCAAAGTGCTTCGCCCATTTATAGATAGCTGTTCCATTCAATGATGATTTCAAGTATAGGGAAACCAGATATGAGCAAGCTGGGTCCACTTAACGAAATTCCTGTAAAATATTTTGAAAAGTTTTATACAATAGGCTTCTTACCTCTTCATCTTTACAGCAGTTTGGACATTCCCAACAATTGTTCAATGTTTCTGATATTTTACATGGACCCTTTTCCTCAAAGCATGCTGGGTGTGCCAGGTTAGCACAAATGCTACATTCCATAATTGGATTGTCATCTTCAGTCTTCACATCATTGCATATATTACATTTGGCAGAAGTAGGCAATGTTGGCTAAAAAGGTTTTCAGAATTGGCATCGTTAAATGTCTTGATAATGGTATCGTTATATCAAAGAAACCTAAGCTAGAGAAAAAGGAGGAAACAGAAAAAAGCTCTGTGGAAGAAGAGATGATGACTGTACTGTTTTTCAATTATTTTAAAATGGTATCAAACAATTTTTCATAGAAAGTGATTTTATTTCGACCTTTGTCTAATTTCTCGAACCATTATTTCTAATTCAATTGTTCGCTGAATTCCATATTATCATGAAAAGAACAGCGATCAAATGGTAAGATATTTTTTAAGAATATCCACTTTGATGTCTGTCAACGATGATACTGAAGTCAGTGATGCTGCATGGTGTTTTCTGGACAATGCATAGTAATTTCTATAAGAGCAATTGAAATTTTTTCAACCCAGATATCTTTAAATGATTACAAAAAGATCCTATAATTATTTCCGAGAAAATTTATGAACTGATCAAATTTAACATCTTTAAAGAACAAGAACCATTTCTCCATCAATTTCCTTGGTTTTTGTTCAGTTTGTAGTACAAAAGCCCTTCTTGAAAGCAGCACCCTATAGCTCTTGACAACAGGAATGGAAAATAACAGAAAAAAGATTGGTCCACATCGCACGCGCAAAGTAGTCAAGATGTGTGAAACACAGCACACAGCCTATTTTCATATAACAAAGACTACAGCTTCTGTTGATAAGAAGACCTTATGCAAATGTAACAAATTTTTCTATTCAATACAAAATTCAGTTCTTCAGAAGAAAAATATAGAGAAAATGAATTTTAGCAAAAGAATATGCAAAATAATGGATAAACCTACATTTAAGCAGATTCTGTAGATACATGATTGCTTCATCTTTCCAGGTCCACCAAATTTTGGCATGTCCAAACAGTATTTACAATCCCCGCAATTTCCACGGTTACAGCCATCACAGTCACCACATCGAAGTCTTCTTTTTCTATTTGATGTACTTGGTGCTTTTGGTTTTCGCACTTTTGTACTTTCTGCTCCATTGATGACTTTAGCTTTCTGTCGCCGGCGAATGTAGGGAGTTGGGCAACCCTAAAGAGAAAATAAATGAGCACATGCTAAAATTATGAATTGAATTTCTTTCAGAAGGGGAATTTATTTCAGTGGTGGAAATTATAGGGGTCGAGGGGCAGCTGGCCCCTCAATTTGATAAGAGAAAATTTATCCCTTAAATCAGATACTTTGACCACAGAAATAAAAAAAGGACAAACCATACAATCACTTTTAATTGATTTCTGTCACACTCAACTTTGATACCTATTGATTTTTTGTTGCATTTGAGTCATATTACTGAGCCAGATTCAACAACAATTTAAATACAAGCCTTATTATGTTACAGTTTCTACCCAAATTTAATTATTGAATTTGTGTTTCACACTGGTAGCTAGAAATTAAAATGGTAGCTAAACATGTATTCACCGTTTCTTCCATGTACAAATCCAGCTGATCAAAAGCATCAACCCCTCTTGCAGCCAACCAAGGATCATCATTCTCATGTAGTTCAACCAGTTCCTTTAATAAAATACACAGTTCCTTTAATAAAATACACTTTGATTGAAAATGGTAATCGGGGCTGTGTCCTAGAACTTAGATAGAGCAAGGTCCCACAACTTTCGAAAAGGGTAAATTCTTAATAAAAGTTCTTACAAACGAAGGTTTGCCCAGCAGATGAGTGAAGTTGCTAAAAATGGTGTTTGTTCAACACCTGACTTTGTGCAGCATTATTTCTTTATCACTGTTATTTATCTTGATGTCCAATACTTAAAACACAAACTGACGATAATGACACGGTTAGGAACCCAAAGATTTTGAAACTTTTATGAGATACAGCAGATTCAGCAGAGATCAATCCAGAGAAATCTGAATAATTCAGGGTAAAGGCTAGGCTTAGACAAGAAAATGTATATGTTCATGCCATATTCACAGTTGATGTTGATGCAGCAAGGTTGACATATATTACTGATTATCATAAGATGCTATTGACAAGTTAAAATCAATAAGGACATGGAATTATGTTGATCTGATGTTTATCAGGGACATTTGAACAAAAAAAAGAAACTGAACAAAGAATCTCATACAAAAAGGGAGCACCATGGACCACTTTGAAAATAAAAACAGTTGGGTACTTTTAACCACTTTAATGAAACAATTTGAATTCCTATCGTTTTTGCCAGTTTCAATTTGAATATGGATTACAGAGATCTGAAAATGCTTCTGGAAAACTGAGTGAAAACTGAGTGAAATAAAAACAAAGCTAAACAAATAAGAAGCAGTGTGTATTTAGCCTTGTGTATTTCTCTGGCCAAAAATGGTGTTTGTTGCTGTTGATATAATTTGAGGGGCAATCAACATCTTTAGCTTGACCACAAAGGCAGCTTTTCCCCTTGTGTAAAATTCATCTTAAAAAAACTTGAAACACTTCTAATTACTTTCTCATTCGACTACAAAATTAAGTTTTTATCATTAAAAAAGTTCTTTTTCTGCGAGATTTGCAGATTTTGAACTGTATGTACTGTGTATGCAGTTTTTATATAGGTGCTGTTCTTGTTGGTAGCAAGAAGAGAACCAAACCATATGCAGGCCTTTTTGAAAGAAATAACCCACACAAGTGGCCTATTGCTCGCATTATTTCTCTTGCACGAGCAATCGCTCTGATAGTGATGGCAATGATCTTATAAAATACCCTTTTGTTTGAGGTAACATCAAATGGAAACAAACTTTTATGATGACCCAATACTTCAAGAAAGAATAAATACCCAAATGAAAAGGTCTGCCATATGCGTCACCATAATCAGAAAATAATTTTCAAACAGCTATCATTATCAACAGTATGAAAAAATATAGCCAGTCATCATACCTCAAGTCGATCTAGAAGGGCCTGTGGTTCGGAAATCTCAGGAGGACAGTTATTGATGGCCCTGTCCCATGTTTGCAGTCTCTTTATCAGCTGCTTCACACCATTTGCCTCAAAATCTGTTAGGTTAATAGGCTCCCACTTGACAGATGCTTGAACATGATCTTTGCTTTCATTCACTTGATTCTCCTCCACTGTTTCAGGTGAGATTACTTCTTGTCGAGCATCTCCATTTTTTTCTTTCTTTATCTTTTTAGAGCTCTTCTTTGAGTCATTTTTTATGTTTCCATAGTTCTCTTTATTCTCTAAAAATTCTTCTGATGGTTCCAATTTTGGTTCCCTCAACTCCAAATCTTTTTCAAGGAGTTCGGTATATCGTTTTGCTGCGTACCAGTGAATTTGTGGGTAAAACGGAAATCTAAATCTATTTGGAACCTACAAAATATCCAAAAAAGAAAATTCAATTTCAAAGAATCCTTATTGTGTCATGAATTTTTTCACAGCTGCATATCTAGGACATGCTTGAATTGTGTTATAAAGAGTGGTTTAACAGACATTCACTTCTACTTTGCCTTTTCTCTAAAGAAAAAGTGTCTGACTGACGCTGTCACAAGTCACAAAGCTACAAACACAAATAACACAGAGAGATACCTAGGCACTGTTTTCTTTTAGGAAAGGCCCATCAAAAACTAGTTTGCTGACAAAGATTTTTCTGATCAGGTGTTTTCAATAAGGAAATTGTTTCTCAATTCTTATTAGATAAAAAATTTCAAGACTACAAAGACTTACCTTTGTTCTATGTTCAATCTCACTGACTTGAATCTGCTGGGAAATGCTGTAGCTATGGATGAAATTTCCACCAAATACAAGGGAATCAGCTGGCGTATAAACAGCATGAATCCATCCTGGAAAACATTAATTGATTGAAAGAGTGAAAAACATGACCCCAAATTCTAAAATATTGACTTTTAATGGTTTCATAAAACTGCAAGAACTTTTTTGCAAGATTCTTTGGTACCTTTTAATCAGAGACTTCACAGAGTATGAAATAGCAAATGATAAGAAAAAGGTAAACTTAAATTTCTAAACAAGTTTGATAAAATGAGATAAGAGACAACAGGACTCTTGACAAATCTGACTTGACAAATCTGACTTGACAAATCAGCAACTACCAACTAGAAGCTAGTTTTACGATTGACAAACTAGGTTGTGTCCGTTTAGTGTAGCATGAAAAATTAAGCATTGGCTGCACACAATTATATTTTTTACTGAAAGTTGTCCTTTTTACATCTCCTTTGTTATTAATGGTTCAGAAAAAACCAACTTCAGCTATGTTACATGCAAGTCTTTTCAAAATTTGTTCCCTTTTAACTGGTTCTTGGCCTACTCACTTATGTGTCTCAAGGGTATTGTGCAGGCGCTTTTCCGAAAACCCGTTAATGAAAGAAATCTTAATTACTGCCTCCCAATTGTCTTATGTGTAGCAAAAAGTTGTTCCTTGTCAGTTACAAAACCTCAAGCATATATCAGTAATCTTTGAAATCTCAATTGTCCTGTAAACATTCAGTCTAAGTAGATTATGACAAAAAGAACTAGATAACCAAGGTAGCCAAAAAATACTTGATTATGACATAATATCATTCATGTGCCTCAATATCTTACTGCAAAATACAGAAAAACTGAGATGTGTTAGTTTTAAAATAATGAACAAAGATTCACATAACTGCAAAACGTTTAGCACATATTGAATCATACTCAATTCAAATTGAATCACCTCCTTCAGGTTTAGACTTGCTGGGCAAGTAACATTTGGGCATATATTGCTTGGCCTTTCCAATTGGCCAATGTGCTGAAAAACTAAAAATTGAAACAAAGGAAAGAAAACTATGAAACATTAGCTGACCTGAAGGTATCATGAATGTGTCTCCAGCTTTCAAATTTACAATGCAGCATTTATCAACAAGGTCACCAAAGAACACATCTTCCTGCTTTGTTGATAAAGTCCACTTTTCATACTTTGAAAGATTATCTTCAGTTGGCTCAATCACCCAAAATATCTGCAAAAATATCATAGATATTCTTCAGAATAGGTTAACAAATACACATTGCAATGTTTCACATGATCAAATTTACAATTATAATCATATTAAAAGATTTATCAAGTTCTGAAACATTTTTGACACATGGTATATTTGATGCCAGCAATTTCAATTTGAACCACAACAAAGCTAAATAAGAAGGCTTTTACTTAACAAATGTGATCTTATGGGGAGGGAGGTGTTTATTAGGGTGGGCATTTGATATATCAGAAACAGTCTTTCAAACATTTCTGGCTGTTTTCTAAAATTTTTATTCTTTGGCAATTATTAGAAGCAATTAAGTCAAAAGGTGCAGGTAAAATGTGTCTACTTTTATAAGGCAAGATTTGTGTATAGTATTTATTTGACATTTGTGTAAAATTTATTCTATGTTTCATGTTTTCCAGCATTCTAAGTTGAACTCACAAAAGTCCTCAGCACCTCAAATGAAACATAAACATATTAATACCGAATAAATAAAATCACTGACTACCTTTTCTCCCTTTAAAATGTGATACCACACAGATGTCCCGCCAAAATCAATGTGGAAGTCAGTATAACAACCACCAACACTCATCAGAACATATCTATTAAAACAACAAACATGTCAAACAATTTGTAGCATAGATTTAGTTTCAGGTTTCCAATAGTAGGTGGAGGGTGGGTTTCCAATAGTACCAGGGGCATGTGTTCTTTTTTTGAGCCATGGGACAGGGGCGTGCACTTTTCTAAGAAGTAACCTCTTCAAAGATCTCGTTTTTCAATGACATGCTGCCCCTTCCTACCTGTGCACCTCTAACTTTGAGGTTTGGTGATGAGGGAAGGGAACCATTACATATATGAAAGTCAAGCATGTTAAGTTTGCCTTTGGGTGAAGAACAAGAGCCACAACAAACTGTCACTTAGACAGCTTCAAAAGACACATTTCCACTTTGTTTTGAAATTGGAAAGGCTGCATTGGAAATATGCTTTATGCGATTGGAAAGCCTACAGCCTAGACTTCCCAAAAATTCAGCTACCGTTGAATTGAATTACTTGGTGCTAGTTCAACTAGCCCCAAAGGAATGCAGATTCGAGCATAATTGGCCAATCAGAAGGCAGTCATCAATTGAATAGTCAAGTTGTGAGAGGCACTTGATTGGTGCACTCTCTGATAGTTTGGGGCTAGCCCCAAAAGCTAGAGAGATGGTTTCTGATACGCGTGTTTGTCTAGTTTTCAAAAGAATCGTGGGCAGTGGGATCTAAACAAACTAGAGAAGGGACAAACAGTGAAACTCAAAGCAACGAAATTAGTGAAGAGTGCTAAATTAATTAATACTGGATGTTGATTTCATTTATGTTTATAAATCTAAAACTTATTTTTGGAAATCTTTGGAAATCGAGCCCCACCAGCCCCAATATACGAGGCGCGCAGGGTTGGAAAATGTCCAGCAGCGCCGGCAGCAACGCTGCTAGGAAATTTTTAAGACAAATTCATTGCAGGAAATCATTGCTGTTTGCCAGGAAATTTTTAGAGTGAAATCTCCATTTTAATACAAACATTAAATTCATGTTACTCTCTTTCTTCTTATTATTCATACTTTTCTACTGACATTTGCATACATTTTTCATCGCTAGCTTAATAGAATGTAAGCGTTTTGGTCTTACAACTTTGCCACTAGCACTACCTCTGATTTAAAACATTAACTTTAACCATTTAAAAATAAAAAATAATCTTACATGTTGTAAGGACTACTAGCTTTGATGATAAAAATGAGCAGCAACCATGAAACCCAGAGCAAGATGTAGGATACATCAATACTTATAAAGTATCTAGTTTGCTAGTACTGATATGAAATTTAGTCAAAGTTATTAAAGATTCATTCTTTGAACACAATAAGTCATTTTTAGTATGAAAGTTTATTTTTAGGACAAATTTTTAAACAAATCAAGCAACTTAAATAAAATTCAGTGGCTGTAAACTTTGTTGAAGTTTCGCAGGAAATCTTGAATTTTTTATTTTGCTCCCAGGAAGAGAAATCTTTTTCAAGGCCTGCGAGGCGCCACTGAATCTCATGTTCCAAATGACAAATGTTTTTCAATTTCAATCCATACATCAATCACGTTTTGAAGAAATCTTTGGAAAAATTTAGGCACACTTTTCGGTTGTTGTTTATGAGAATTTTGTTGTTTTTAACTGATGAAGATTGTTGCTTTTGATGCTGCTGAAAAGAAGACTGTTCATGGAGCTAAAAACAAAAACCATAAAAGATTCTGGGTATGACCAATCCTTCGATAGAAGAAACAGCAAGAGGTGTATTTAGACTTTGTGAAAAAATGCAATTGGCAGATCATTTGAGCTTCTTCAAATATTATCGAATGTCTCCCAACTTGTTGGCGAATTCGCTGCATTTAATTGCACCTTTTACTTTCCCGTTTAACAATGGAGATCTTGAAGTGCACTTGCTCAATTAACACACCAACTAAATCAATATGCCAACAAATTTTTGGAGTTGCATCAGATTTGATGTTCACTATCTTTGAAGGTTTGTTTTGTATGATTGGCAAGTGATATCTGTAGTGCAAATGGGCCTTTACAGAATAGCTCATATTGAAATTAAAGTTACTGTAAAAAGTTTATGAAAAGACAGAAACTTATAAAAACTTGGGAGATAGTTTAAATTTACAAAATCAAATAATTATAGCAATCAAATTTAAATGAAAAAGGACAATGTCTTACTTTCTGACTTTTGGGTACTTCATGTCATCAAGATTGTTGGTGGTGTCTGTCTGCTGCTCAATCAGATCAGGGGGCCACATCACATTAACCCAGTCGATCTTCCTTACCTGCAAAAAGGAATAATAACTTTTATGTATTCAACAAAACAGAGAAAGAAATGAAACAAAAACATTTAAATCAATATGAATGAATCTTTAGCCCAATGAAGTCATTAGCGAGTAGCCTGTGTTATCTAAGCCAATTAAGAGTTGCCTGATGACCGAACAGTTGCCTGCCTGATGACCGAACAGTTGCCTACCTGATGGTCGCAGTAATCGTTAAGCTCTGAGAAGCAACTGGAACTGTTGTGTTCTACACACCAAAAGCATAAATCTTTATGCATATAATGCACAAATGCACCAAAATACTATCCTAAGTAAAAGGATGGATTTAAAGGGAAAGGCTGATTGAATTTCCATGTTAATGTGGTCTATAGATCCCACATTACTGTCAGCTGTAAAGAATTTCAGTAACCAAAAATGCACTTTACTGTAGAATGAACATCACATTGCAGTGCTGTCGGAACGAAATTCATATTGGGGGGCTGCCTATTGTTTTTCTTCTCATTCAGTACACTGTTATAAAGGAAACATACTACAGTTTGACAATAATTGGGGGGGGGGCACCATTTTCAAGTGGGACATAATTGTCATTTTAAAGTAACAAGGTTACTGATTGACAGCCTCCAGTAAAGACATCTTTAATGCCTATTGTTTCGAGGAAATACTGAAATAAGAAGGGCTGCAAAAATACTGCCAGATAGTGTTACCTGCATGTTAATTTTTTTTGGCAAAAGTTTGTGATGAGTAAAACGAGAATTTTTCCAAGTTAAAATAAAGGTTCCAAGACAATTTCAAGTTATCAGTAATATTCTTGATGACTTAGCTCGCTGAGAGATTTCCATCAACCCTCCCTCCTTAACTAAAACATGCTTAGTTGAGATCATGTGATTTTGCATCCGACCTACAATCCCGGACAGAAATAGTTGAGACTTTCCAAGAAAACTTTCTGTTTTCTCTTCCCGTTGAAAAATAGCTTCCCCCCTTCCCCAATTCAATGTTGAATCTACGATTTTGAAGCAAAAATTACAGAACTACAAATCCAACATTGCTTTGGAGGGAAAGGGGGGATTTAAACTTACAGGGGCAAGGTAAAGTAGAAAGTTATAAAAATTGCATTTTGTCTCAACATTTTTGTCCAGGAGGATTGTAGCTGTTCTCTAAGAAAGCGACTTGTTACACATCAAAAGAGCAGCACTACACCAACTCTACTTTAATTCTTACTTAAGTGAAAAAATTCCAACTCACCAGCTCAGGGGGTTCAACCAATCTATCCATTCCAGTGTGGCTGAATTCAAGGCTGATCACATTGAGAATCCTGTCCTTCTCAGGGGTGGCAAAGTATTTTGTCCATTGCGTCATTGTCATTTCTATAGGCTGTTGTGTGCTCGTATCAACAACATCAACCATTCGCCGTGCACCTGCAACATCAATCAATTAACCACAATCAACAATTAACCAAATATCAATTTATCTCTTAATACTGATTTATTTCTTTAACAATTAGAGACCTGTGCACTATGATCTTAGTTTGAACGAATTTCATTTTATATTTCCTTAGGAACTAGTCTTACACACTCTAAATCTGGACAATTTTAGTGTTTTGAGAAACTCCGGCTTTTCTGACTCGTAACTCTCAAAAAAGGCTACGAAATTAGATAAAAAAGATTACCATTTTATAGCCACGCAAAATTAAATACCAATCCATCTTAACTGAAAAGTTCGAATAAGTACGAGCAATATTCTGTTACAAACTGGTTGATTGAATTGTTCTACATAAGTCTCGAGTAAATTGCGGCTCTCGTAACACAATGGAATTTAAAGTTTTCTAAACTGGAACCAACTTGTTTTGACGCATTGCTGAGGATCTAATCATACCAATTACCAACAGAAAGAGCTCTTACATGCAGCACAATTTAGCATTGTGAACATTAATTGCTTTATACACAATAAACTACGTCATTTCTACCACAATTCAATACACGTTGAATTCAAAGAAGGCCTCTTTCAGCTTCTATCAGCACACAATGCAAATCTGGAAATTTCCAGTACACTAGCAAGATGTTTGGCACAGGCTGTATCTCGGTGGATCTCTAGCAGTAAGTTGTTTTTGAACTCCTATGTCATTTTTTTATGCTATCGGACAAAAACATAGTTTTGTAAAATAGCCAGTCAAAGCGGAAACATAACTTTCTGATTTTTTTATTACCAAAAGCTTACTAAAATCATTTTCCATCGGTCCGTTTGATGACCATTGCTCTCAAGTTTCTCGGAACCGGACAATTTTGGCTCAGTTCATAAATATATACTGAGACCAAAACAGAGGTTTGATAGGACAAGAGCTTGTGATCATCTGGTCATACCTTAGCCAATTCGTAATACCTTTAACTGACTTTGCACATTTAGAGGTATTTCATGATGCACTTTCAGGCTATGGAAACAAACATCGAAAATTCCAAAAATGTATTTTTATGGAGTCATCACTTGACACCTCTATTATCCCGACAAGGTTCCTTTCTAATGCTAAACTGGATTGATTAGGTGTGGCAACATTTATTGAAAACTGGCTTTAATTGGAGGCAATAGCAATAATTCCTTTTTTTTAAACATTGATCAGATAAATTCAATTAGTCTCTCTGAAGGGCATCAAAGATATTTTTTCACAATCCTTGTGTACCTTTTGTGTACCTTTTCACACAATACCGGATCTAATTTATACTGGATTGATTGTTTTCATACCAGATAGGCATTCTGTTCCCATGACAGATCGATGTTTATTGTGCAATAGCGACATAACATTCGCCTATAATGCATTTTTAGACTGTCTGTAATCAGTCTGTAATAAGTTTACTGCCATTGTTTGGACCGTCGCCATGCTCGCAAAGGCCCATTGTTAGCAATGACTCCTCAAAATGAATAGAAAAATAATCCTTTAGCTGGCACAGGCTACAAGCATCTTCTTCCCTTACTTGCTTTGCTGATGAAACTAGGGTTGGTAGTGCGCGATATCACATTCATATGCATATGCAAAAATGCAAAGGAGAAAAGTCGTTGGTGCCTCATGATGTTTGGCGCTACACTCTTTTATTTCGGGTTGGCGTCATCGTTTTTACATCTCGCTATCTATTGATCATTTAAAAAAATAGACCACAGATTTGAAATCGTCATGTTAAAATCTGTTTGAATTGGAAAGTTCATGCTGTTTGGAAAGCCAGGTAGCAAGTTACATCGTCTTGAATGCTGAGATATTTCTAAAGATTCAGGAAACAGTGAAATTTACAGGAAATTTTAATTTTAAAACGGCGTAATTTGCAGCTTGACCGTCCAAACAACATTAAATTTTTGGCACAGACCAATTTCAACATACCAATTCTTTGATCCGTATTTGGATAATTTGGCTAATACAAGACAACTCAAATATAGGATCAAGCACACCGAGGCTTGATTTGCCAAAAAATAAGAACATCGTGAGAACATGTCCAACCTCGAAGAAAAGTTAGTCATGTTTTTCGGAAATTTTCTCTCATGCTAACAAAACAGAGATAATTTTATTAGCCAACCAACCATACAACTAAAAATGTCCAACATTACTGTTGTTTAATGGTCGTAGAAACAATTTATAGTAATTAGATGTAGAAAAATATATGTTGAATGAAACAAGAAAAAAGAAGAAACCCAAGCCTCAAAGTATTCAAAAAAGAGATTATCGAACCTCGGCAATTAAAAAAAAGAAAGTAACTAACTACGCGGATAAGCCTAGCGTACCGAGAAGATGCTAACCGTCAAACCAAATGAAGTTCAACCGTCAATGAATTCAGAATTTAATGGCGTGTCATACGGAAGCAGGAATGAATTTGCTTTAGATAGCAAGTTCGGCGCAGCTAAACACAGTCGTTTTTTTTAATTCGGCCTACTTTGAGCGGCAACTCCTTTCTATAAGTTTCTTGAATTTTAATTCGGTTTTGCGCAAGAGCCCGCACAAAGGATATCGTACAACTCATCAATAGGTAAAAGCGGTATTTTGAAAAGCAATGGGGGTGGGCTATCAGTATGGGTGTGTTACCATAAAAAGTACAAGGGCGCCCTCACGAAAAATTGCTCAGAAATAATGCAAATGACTCCAAAGCTGCAATAAAAGGTGAAAGAAGCCTTGACCCCCAATGCCGTTAGGCTTGGCTCCCCACGTTAAACTTCGTGGCGTGGGTACCTGCAAAGGGGACCATTCCCTCTGCTCACCCCATTTCCAGCTCTACACCGGTGGATATCAGGCGAGTAGCAGTGTGTATTCACGCTTTTAACTTCCTTTGAGCATCTACTAGATTAATACTTTGTCACTAAATTAAGGAATATAAATCCATCAAATTTGGGAATGCTAACAAGAAATAAACAAGGGACTGCTTTTAAGCGACTCGAGTAGCCTCTATCCGAAAATTAAAAAAGTTTTAGAGGATAAAGGTTGGAGGTCAAGAAAATTTAAGAAATTATTTTTATTTTGTTATTACAACATACTAATTTTCTTGTGATTCTTAGATAGCTATAAAAGAATCTCAGCCAACCATTTTACTAAAGCTCTTTATCCCCGCTAAAAGAACTCTACCTTACTTTCCTACATAAAGGATTGCAGACTTCATCACTCATCGCAGCGGTTGCGTTACAATGGCTGAGTTTCGATATACGTCCTTCTAAAAGTTGAAGTTCAGGCTCAGGGTGTCTGAAACCTTTGTGCCTTTTGGCCATCAAAATATTTTAGCTGTTTTTATGCATAGCTTTGATTGCTGATTTCTTTACATCTTATTATTAAATTCAAAATGTATATATTGCTTATATGCTTCTAGGTCATGCTTAATTTTTCCGCATCTTTCTGAGTCTCGTTTTTTTACACGCATGTTTCTATCATAAACAAGATGTACATGAAAATAAGGAAATGTTGGTTTTCGGTAAGAATAAAAAAGTTTTACAACATTCATTAGGGTAATATGGCAGGATTTGTATACATTCAATATACATTCATTGTGCCCCATTTCAATGTTTTATTGCAGTTTCCTACAAAACGTGTGCAAAAAACCATAAGTCAATAGATACTCGACATCTAGGTGACCAACAAAAGCATTACCTCAATTTATGGAAATTGTTTTCCTGTTTTCCGATGTTCCTACTTATGTTTTTAAAAATTCAGCAGATGCCAAACACTTACTTTTTTAGAAAGGGAGTAATTCATTCCTCAATCAAATGTGTTATTAAACAAAGTGGCCAGTTCCTTCAAACCTTTCATGTTATGTTTTGACAAACTAAAGTCATTCAAACTGTCAGCTATTTTCTTTCTATTATAATCGCCTTCTATATAACCCTACATTTATTAAAAATATCATTTAGCTTACAATTACTTCGGATTAGTGCAGTATAGGAATCGAATCAGAGATTAATTCAAGTTGACAGAAATTGATGAATGACCATAAAAAGGGAAATGGATGTCTGTTACTTTTAACCTTCTTTTCATTACCTCTCAGCTACAGAAGAAAGTCTAAAGAATTTAATAAGTTTATGAGCCGAGAAACAGTGTCAGTATTTATGACAGTTAATGTTACAGAAGCAATAACGAAAGGCAGCTGAAATTTTTCAGATTATATTTGCAATCGTAAACAGGATTGAAAATCCAAGTAATGACGGATTACTTTGAAAAAATCCGCCTTCGTTTGCATGTACGATTGTCTACAAACTTCTTATACGATTGTCTTGCTTTGACTGATTCAAGAGAGCAAAATATCAACAAAGAAAGCCCACGAATAGCAAACATCGACTAAATGTACATATAGTTTTACTGAGGTTTTAGGTAACATATAACGATGACAACCTTTGAAAATGAAATAGGACAATAAAAGAAATTGTAGTCTAGACCTTATTCTTAAAAATGATACTGTATCATTACGAAAGTACGAGACAATCATTGCTGGATTTCCTGTCCCTATGAAACAAGGTAGACAGTGACGTGGTGCTCCGGACAAACGTTACTGTCGTGCACGAGGTGGGCAAATCCCCTTTCAAACCTGGAACTTGAGCACTAAACTACAGTACAATCGCCTGTACTTTTTGAAATGATTATTTATGCTTTCAAGTTGCAGATTTCACAATTTTTTTACAGGTTCAATCGCTTACATGTTTGCATGCAGATATAAACTTTTTCATATTTCACCAATTGCTCCTCTATCCCCTCTATCCCCTTTGCCAAGGGTGCCGGAAGCATTTTGAGGCGGCGGGAGCAGCTTCTCAGAAAGGGCGCATTGTCAATGACTAATATAACAAAAAATGATATAACATAATACTTTGGTACCGATAAAACGTTTAATCTATAAGGCCAGTCTAAAACTTCCCATTCTGTTGTTTAGGCTTTTGCTGGGTGGGAATCGGGGTACCTTGACATGTT